CATTTATATAATCGACTCCTTCTCTGGCTTGTTGAAATTCCTCTTCAATGCTACGTCTCCGCTGTAGTGATATTTGGAAACCAGGCCAGTGGAAATATTCGGCATTTCTATCGCCAAGCTTTTTCCTTTCAATTGTGTACTCTGTTCTTTAATCGTTGTTTAATGATGTGTGCCGAATAGTTTATAATCTCTTGGTTTGTTATTTCCGCTTAACATTGCCCCAATTTAATTCCAAATTATTCGATGTATTTTCGATTCAAAACGATACTCCTTATCTTAGAATGCGAAAAAAAAAAGGGGTAAATGAAACTGATCCACAAAATATCCAGTCATAAGGAGTTTTTTTCTGTTCCTTTTAAAATGGTTGTTTATTTATTCAAACATTTACGTATTCATCTACTTATTCATTACACAACAACTTTGAATGTAAGACTATTAGTATTACTTGTTACGGTACAATTTAACAGACAGAAAGAGCATCATTTATTAACAAACGTAACTACTTTATTAAACAACTTGTAATATTTTTATCAATGACCGACTGTAAAAGGAAGTAGAATAATTATCCTTAAATAAACTGATTGAAGCCCACCACAAACTATTTCTTAGCTCACCACTGACACAATCTCACAGTTGTCTCCAAAGTGCCTCAAAATTAACAATTTTCCACAGTACCTCTCTCTCGGTATAGCCTTCTGAAAAGTCAGTCACTCCCGACAACAACATTACTGCTGCACAACTGAGTCCTTATGTACAAAGTATTCTTGGAAATTCCGGACACTTACAACACAACCATACTGGTAGTGTTATATCATAACTAAGTAACCTAGTAAAATGCTTCAGAAAGTTCCTTGGTATGCATTTCAGCATGACTAGGCATTCTCTAAATTTCTAGAAACTTATACTTTAAGTTATTATCCATATAGCTCATTGTTAAAAGTAATAACAGCGTTTGGTGAGAAGTTTGTAAACTCAATAAGTGAAACGTCGAATATGAAATAATTATGCGGTAAGCGCAGAAAGTTGGCGCGTAAGAATCGAAAGATAAATACGTTCAATTAAAGGTGCGTGCTAGAGTGCTTCTTAAAGAAAGGCAATTCGTGATATCTTGACATGAATTCCCGCCTCATCTGTAGTAGACTGTGGTCTTATTCGAAGGAAAGTCATCAAGATACTGAGCTATTAGAAAATTGAATTTATGGATTGATTTACTTCGATGAATCTTGCCTACAAATATAAGGTCGCTTAGAAAATAAGCTTATAATCATAAAGAAGATAAGTTACAATTACACTGAACTGGTTGAGTGCTTAAACAATAATAAAAAGAAAGACCTCTTTTTAGCTGCTGATCGCAAGTCAGACCGATCGTAGCCTACTTATTGCTGTTAACTTAGTGATTGTACTAAGTAATTGACTGTCATTTCCGGTTGGCTGGATCCAATTATTTAAGTTACGTGCGATTTCAATTCAAACTCAGCACAATACTGCATTTCAACTGCCCATACATCCCCAACCTCACTTGGATTGACCTGTGAGCTCTTACTTGTGGAGTTGTTCTTTATAGAAGATGGAAAAACGATATTCATCTTTCCTTTGAATCGCTCTCTGATCTGCAGATAGACAAGCAACATGAAATATGGTTCTTAGCACTAGTACTCGGATATTTATCGAAACAATAAAACTTGATGATATGGAGTTGATAATCAGTTTAATGTTTTACTTACCTGACTGTTTCGCATGCAGTGTAGAGCGAAAATCAGGAAACCCTGCAGCATAAAAATGATTTCAAGATCATTGATTTTTATAGTATACAAACAAATCAGTCAAATACCTATTAAGATTTCCAAGAAAGAAAGAAAATTGCATATCTTATAATGGAAAAAGAAGTCTGTCTTCTCTTGCATACTTAACAGCATTTTTGTTTTCAAATTAAAATTAAAAAAAAATGTGACCACTGCAATGGTGTCCCACTTGGTTAGAAAGTAAAATAAAGGTAGAGATTGAATAATTTTGAGTATTACCATCGAATACTGACCTGAGCAGAGTTAAGTACGGTGAAGATGTAAGCGAAAGCTTTATGTACAGGCGAGAGGAGACCGAATACCCATGTGACACCCAGCAGGGGAATCATTACCACGCATGCTTTGATGCCAATTCTAGGAGTGAAAAAGAGAAAATTCCTTTATTTTCCTTTGACAATGAATTTTCATTTTTAGATATCGTATGGCCTTACTGATTAAGGAATGAGGAAGTTAGGCGAATATAGCCACACAGGAGGACATGGTAGCTTCTTCCACTATTTTGTTTTAGGTTTAGGTTGTGAATCTTACCGTATTTGCTGAGAATGATGCTCTTCCCCTATCGGCTGCAACAAATTGCTCGTCTCCTTTATGACTCGTACGAGTATCAAGATATTGAGCTGAAAAATACAATAAAAATAAATTGATTATTAGGATATGGTTGTCGAATAACCAAAGTAGAAGAGGATCTTTGCTAAAGACGTTATTAGTTTGGTAACTAGCTTGGGATGAAGAGTCATTTACAGGGAATAGAACTCCCAACTGTGGGACCTAGATTATGAGCTTCGATTCCCTGACTTCGAGCAAAAGAAATCGCGAACTAAAGTGTCTGAACTAAATGAACTATGCAAAGTGAATCCTCATGTTAAATCACATAAATTTAACATCTCCTAAACTTCCTGCTCCTTTCATCTTGTTCAATGTTTTTTAAGAGTTATTTTTGCGCAAAAAACATATCTTGGTATATCAGTGTGAAACAGTGAGAAAACTTCAACAAGGAAAGGGAAGAATCTTTTTCCTCATACTATGTAGTTAAAGTTGGAGAATGTATGAAGCTATCTATTTCCCGTGTAGACTTTGTACCAACAGGCTTTACTCGCTATTAAAGGCCATCACTTAGTCAAAATTGACCAGCATCCCTGCAAACAGCAGCTGCGTCCAAATTTTTTTGTGAGTAAATAGGAAAAGGAAAATAGTAAGTGATGTGTGAGTTCATATCATACATATTTAATTCCTTTTTTAAAGATCAGAGAAAAAAATCTTTAGCAGCAAGTAGTCCAGGTATACCAATCACAATTACCAGCCCTAATCATAAACTCACAACTTCGATGAAAGCCACAAAAGCGACGAATATCCAGATCAGGTTGTCAGACGAGGAAAGCCAGCAACTAAACTCGAAGAGGTGAGAGACACGAAAGAAACACAAATTGTCAGCAAATGAAATGATACCTGTCTCAAAATATATGAAAAAACAAAACAAAGAATTAAATGCAACGAATTAAAAGGAGAAGAACAAGAAGAAATCGTCGACGTTTTTTCTTACTATTTATCACTCGTATAGCTTTGTAACCCTTCTTTTCCAGCAGCGATGCCAAGTGACATGGCCACCATGATCACTGGAAGACCTACCCATAAAGAAAGGAAGGAAATCAAAACATTTTACTGCATGACAACACCAGATTTGGCGGTCCGAAAGCATGGTTACAGTTACCAGTGCTTTAAAATAATAAACTCACCCCATGAGGTGACGTGATACATGTACATCTTGGTGTTAATGTTGTAAACTTTCACAACGAAGAAGTAGAGATAAATTCCCTCAATCAGCATCCAACAGAAAGCGGCCATCAAGAAATACTGCATCAGAGCTGCTATTGTAACACAGACAGCCTGTGGAAAGAAAGAGTTTTCGTATAATTCCCGTGGTGTTCCTTTCGACAAGATATATACGTTGCAAAGAGTAAAATCATTCTATGGATAGAAGGAGAGGCCACTGACTTTGTTTTCTGTGGCGTTCATTCCGGCGAGGAAGATGATCTGTCCAACTCCAAGAGACGTAGAAACACTCAGACGAATTTGAGAAAGAGGTTGACGAACATCTCTGGTGAATTAATAGTAAAAACAAGGAAAATGAATGAGACAAAAGCAACAAAAATAACAGTAACACAGTGAAGACAACAAGAACAGCAAAGGAAAAAAAAGTCAGCAAATTGCTGCAGAAAGGACAAAAAAGGAAAAAATTCATAAACCGTGAAACCATAAGCTGTTCAGAAACTCTTGATGAGGCGTGAAATGAAGTTTAAATTTGTGAAGTATTCGACATGCATGTTCTCATTTGCATAGAGACTTGTATTGAGATCTCTTTTCTCACCAGCATAGTTGAGGAGAGTTAAGGATTGACCTAATTAATATTCAGGTACACTACTTACGTGAGGCAAGAATAAAGTATTAATGTTAAAAGTATCCCGACGATGGAAAGGCTCAGTCCCACGTAAGTGATAGTTTTCAGAATTTTTTCGTCCTCCTCGGTGAGCTGTTACAAAAAAAGAAAGAGATAAAGAAAATGAAAGGAAAACATTAAGTTACTTAATTAAGCCCATAAAATTATTGGGTAAGACAAAAATTATTTGATTGCCTTTGTGCTGCCGTCGTAGTCCATTAAGACGGCAAAATGCGTCAAATGATTGCAACTGCAAACTGTTTCTTCGGAGTTGCTTTTTGATGTAATCACATGGCATCCTTCCTCTGAAAAGCTGTCACACATGACAAAAAGTAAGTTAACGAGGCGCACAAAATTATTTCTTGTCTGGGTAAGAGGTAATGTTTTATAATTTTTCGCTGCTTTTCCTCCATTGAAGTCTTAGTTGGGACAACATTTCAATCAGACTTCTCCTCCTCTCTTTCACGAAAGCGTTAACCTGCACAAAAGTATCTGACTGAGAAAGTATATTCATTCTCCTCCGTACTTAATTTAATTGAGGAGGAACATATACTTTACAATAGTGTTTTGTAGTTTTTTTACCTTTCGCTTAAGCCACTCCAAAACATACAACGCTTCTCTGCTGTCAAGACCTGAAAATAGATTTTATCGCGTGAGAATAAATCAAATCAACGCTCTGCAACTAATTTTCATGTTACCTTCAGGTTTTTGAACTTAAGGATGACATTTTCTCGCAATTTCTCTGGCTTGGGGTCCATAGTTACGGCCATTATCCTGGAGTTGAGATACCTATGAAGAAATTGTATTTGAAAATGGACCAGAACCAAGGAAGCAATATTACATACTTTTGGCAGATTTAAGCAAGGTGGAATGGTCAGAGACAAGCAGGGAGCCTTTGTATGTTCAGTTTAGTTGAACTTAGATCTTATGTGTTATCGTGTAATGTGTTTTGGGGGTAAACGAAGTGGAGTAATATGAAAATAACGTCACCTTTGATTGTCTGTTTCACTCGTGATGGCTTGATCTGTCAGAAGTAGTTCATGCAGATTCTCGAACACAAATGCAACTACCAATGATTCTTAAAAACCCAAAGAATCAAAAATTAAAAAAACCCACAAAATCGAGATTTTCATCAGGCTCTGAGGTATGTGAAATTGGAAGGAAGGCGTATGATTAAAGAAAATAGACTGTGTACACATTTTTATGAGGATTTATTTCAATACAGAAATTTCGATTGGAGAAACCAAGGTAATGAAAAGTTGTAAAGTTAACACGCTGGTTAATACGAACCATTGTCTTCAAAATTTGAAGAAGCGATATCGATTCTCGCTTGCCATCGTTGTTCCTCAAAGTGGAAGTCACTCGCATTCTGGCGATAGACTTTTTGAATGTCCAAAACTGTCGAAAAAAAAACAGTCAATGACAAATGAAAGCACTTACGGTGAAATTTACAATAGCACATATACACAAACTTACGTTTTGCGGTGTACACAAAATATGTCATAATCTTATTGAATGGAAGTGTTTTTTTTTTGTATCTTACTTGCCCTTCAACGACTATTCGACAATTTCAACCATTTTAAAACGTTTTTTCAATGTAAAACTGATTAAAAGTGAGTAGTGCTGCACTGACCCAAATTGTGAAAACTCACTTCGTTCCTCAAACCGTTTCGTCGGAGAACTATAAAGTTCATTAGGAAGTTTTTAAGAGTACGGTTAAAAATCTTGCATTTATATGTATATGCATCGCAGTCGATAGGCAAATTTTGAGCTCAATGTATAGTATGAAGTATGCGGAAAGTATTTGTAAGATTTGACAATTTCAGTTAGTAAAGTGTTACTCACCAGTCTATTATTTAAGAAAAGTTTCAATAAACAGAGCGAGAAGAAGGGTTTCACAATTTGAAAGATTCTGATTTTCTATTGTTGATTGTTCAAGAATACCTTGAATTTCGTTCTTCACCGCAAAAAATCAAAGTATTAAACAAATTGAAAGAATAGATGAATCGATGACATTCAACGATAACATTTCATGTAGGTTGGGCTTACAACAACCCATTCGGTCAGTCAGCAAGTCAGTACAAAACAGAGGAATATACTTTGAAACTAAACAGGTTTAGAGGCCGAAATCTCACCCATTGTTGGGGAAATGATCGTTACTGAAGGTCTCGTTTCACTCAGGTGTCGCCTGCTATAATTAAGAGCAAATTTTTCGACGGCCTCTGCCACCTCAAAGATGGATTTTCTCTGTATTTTAACGTCTTCCATGCTGGCCTTATTTTTTGTGACGTTCTTGATTTTTAAGGTGCAATCTTCAAACACAGTTACAGCCTCCTACAATTACATAAAATATTTCCAGGTCATTAACCAGTTAGTCTCAACAATTCATATAAAGAATGCGGAAAAAGTTTAGTAGGAGGCCCCAAATGGTGTCCAGGGTATTCATTGGCTAGAGAACACTTTTAGGAGCCTGGATTATTTTGTAAGCCTCATCATTTTCACTTCATATGGCTTAGTGGCTGTTTATCCATAGAGGTCAGATATTTACTTTTTATGGTCTAACGACATACATCCAAGTTAAAAAAAGTTATGAAAATTACATGCCTGTATGGAAGTCCTTCCGGTAATATTTATTCTGCCAAATTTTGAAACATAATCCTTTGCCTGGAAAAAAAATGTCTGTCACATTTGTAAACAGAGAAGATCCTGAAAATGAACATGCATAAAAACGCTAAATGACTATTTAGGAAACATACCAGCAGCTGAACTGGCGACGGCGACGGCGACGGCGACGGCGACGGCGACGGCGACGGCGATGGCGATGGCGATGGTGAGGTTGTAAGTGATGAATCTTTAAAGAAAATGTTAATCAAGACTACCTCATACTAAAAAAAACGGGCAAGAATGCCGACTTTAAGCGGAGTAAGGAAATGGCCGCTATGAACGTTAAAAATTCCTAAATGCACTCGATTTTTGATTGGTTAAGCAGAACACTCTTATTGTTTTCTTTGCATTATTTTAGTCTTTCGCACACGACTTGAAAGATCAATGTTCAGATAGGGCTACACGATGTTTTTAGAAAACTTGATCCAAAAATATTAGTAAATGAAATAATAGTAAAAAAAAACATTCCTTAATCAGTGGTTAAACATATAATATGAGTACACATTTGCCCACTTTTTGTCATAACAGCTCGCCTCCATGGGGATTGGAAAATACCCCGTAAATCGCAAAATTTGCGCGTGTATTAATTGTCAAACCACCGAATATGACGTATTCATTTCTTATTTCGTCTCGAACTGTTTCCGATTTACTGCCCTTTTTTAAATTTTTTTAGCTTAACCGAGATCGTCTTTGTGGAAAATATTTGATTCAGCGTTTTTATTTGAATAATTTGATGGATTTGTTAATTAAGGCATAACGAGAGAAAATGATCAGGAAGCTCCTTGTCCAGGCCTTGAAATATGTCAGTTGTGAGAGGATTCACATAAAAGCAAGCATCTATCTGATCTTCTGTTGTAATGACCACTAGAAACTTCTTTGCTTGAATTTAAGTTTACAGGTTAAAAACTACTGTTCATGTTTTCAGTCAAGCAAACAGAAACGCACAACGCAAAGTGAAACTCGAATTGTTTAGTAATTATAACAACCTTAGTGAAAAGTAAGTGAAAACGTGACTCTAGCCTTCTACCGTATTTAGTTTTCGTGTTACAACGGTTTTTTTTAAGCCGTAACACCCTAAGAAATTTGATATGTGAGGGAAGGGTCGCACTTGGGACAAGTTTTCCAAATTACGAAACCTGTCGTCGAAGGAAATTTCCAAGTGCGGCTCTAATTTTTGGAATTAAAAAAAAGATTAATTTCAAATGGTAGAAAACATCAAAAGCACCTTAGTGCTTGGGTGGGGCAGGCAGATTTGAAAAGAGTCAAGTTAAACAAAAGAAATCACAGCGGTGACTGTCAACGCTTGTAAGTGAACCTTGGAGAAAAAAAGAGAACTTTCTAAATCTGGATGGTCGTCAGTTATATTATGGAAAATCTCATCCACAGGACGCGTATCTTTTCTTCCGAGCTGTGAACATGAGGTCTAGTTTCAAGTCTACTTCAGTTCTCATTGTGTGAAAACACTGGCAATTTCCTCTCACTGGTGCGACTCTACTCCTTTCGGTTGCGATTACGTATTTCCGTGGTATTTTATCTCAGAAAAGTAGAACACTTTTCCCAAGTGCGGTTCAAGGCAAACGTTTGAAAATAAATAAATAAATTAATGATGGTTACATAAATACATCACAGGACAATTAGATTTTTGGATTAACCACAGCAAAGCCGTATGCTTTGGGGTGATAGTCATGTTTTGCTTAATTAAACGATTGTTGTAGAACCACTAACTTGTACACGAAACGCATCGTTTAATCTTTCAATTCACATATTGCCTTCCGATTACTAAACATGAAAAGCATCATACTCTTTTATAGAGAGCTTCGGTCGCCAGTTAGATTGATTAGGCACTCACCAGTTTTTTTTTCTCTGCAGGTTCGCGTGCACTTTATCTTGTTGCATTCTGTATAACACTCATCATCTTCACAATAGCAGGTCTTTTTGGTAAAAAAATGCTGTTCGCCGATTGTAAGGTTAAATTTTGTAGCCTTGCACGTCTTAAAAATGATATTCCCTTTGTGTCCCGTTTTAATGCATTGATATACCAATGGGCTATACGTCTGACTACAATACTTTCCGCAGTCCTCGGACATGCGGTTTTGCCCACTCTTGCAGAAGGTTACGGAACAATTAAGATTGCATTTGCCATCAGTGAAATTGCAATTCTGCATCCATCTCTTCTTGCCATATTCTAATGTGCAAGATATTTCAACGTAGTCTTGATAATTGATCTGGGAAGAGTTTTCCCCAATAGCTGAAAAAGATGCAAGACAATATTTCAATAGATTGGTCCTGGTTTTCAATTATTATAACGAAGCTCGATAGTAAACGTCAGGAAAGTCGCTGTGGATCAAAAAATTTGGGTCATCTTGCGTATCGAACGCGTTCGTCGCGCGACCGAGTCCAGACCTCCCTCTTTTTTCGCTCTGCCGCTACTATTGCGTTGTCAACTATCGCACTCCGGCTGTTTCACGAGATAAACGTCTAGACAGGCTTATGTTTCAAAAAAATATAATAATGGTAGGAATTGGTCCATGCTAAGCAGCAATACCATGATATTCAACAATAACTCAAGCATTTGTTTATACCTTTGTCCATCAATTAACCAAAGTAAATTTCCTTCACGTTTGGGAAACAAAAGAAAAACCGGGTTGCTCGCACGCATTTAACACTTACACCTGAACATGTATAGCTGTCTCTCCTATGGCGTGATGAACCTTTCCCTACGCGCCCTTGTTTTTACAGTGTAGTATATAGATTTAATGTGGTCTTACCTTTTGGTATTTCACAAATATATGGCAAAGTCGAAACATTTTTGCCGGCAGCGTCTTGACTTGCAAGGTGGCCCTGTTGCTCATTCTTGGCTAACATGCCCTTACTTCTGCCCCAACTTGATTCTCCCAATTTACAAATAGTCAGTGGTCTTCCACTCACCCAGATCCAACCCCCATTCTCTTTTACCAAACCGATGTGCCACCGGTGTTCAGTGCGGTTTTGAATCTTATCATTAATAAAGTTCCATTCTTCTTCGGTTTCAATGGAAACTAAATCACCACCAAGGTGGTCCTTGCAAGTCCTTCTGCTCTCGTCCCATGTTTTATGCGTGAGATTAAACTTATAGCAGGAACTTTCAAAACAAGCATGTTCGCTGTCTGTAGATTACAGGAGAGAACATAAAATAGCATTTGAAAACGAATTCTTGAAAGCATGAGATCAATGTAGTCACTTTACTTCATATGTTTTTACGTATATGTATATAGTAGAATATAGAGACATTTTAACTAAGTGTCTGTGTCTCGTATATGTGTTATGAACCTTTCACTAGTTCAAAATAAGCTCGTTATCTCGTCTTAAAGTATAATTTCAAACCTTTTTCATCTTAGTAACCCTCATTAACCTTGGTGGCGGTTCTATAGTTTAAGATGCAGCTTTGTTCCATGTCAGTTCAACGACTTATCAATGTAACAGAATCACAACCTCCCCCTTTTTGGGCCAAATTTTATTTTAGCTCACACTTACATACCAAAAGTAATCACAGCCCTACCTGCTCTCACGGATTGCATCATCAAAGTCTGGATAGCTGAAGTACGAATGTAAAAAATAAATTTAGTTTCTTACTTTCACTGAAATATACTTTTCATATCATCAGAGTCACCTATTTGTATCGCAATTGCCGAAGTTGGAGGAGGCACACGTCTACAGAGTATTTCTTTGACGCATTCAATTTATTGATTAAAATGACTGAAGTTGTCTGTTATTCGTGGTTATCTATGGAAATTCACATTGAGAAAGGCACGACAATAAACTGATGAGAATTTCTAGTCGTGTTTCTCTCCACTTCTTGAGCGCTCTAGCCACTTCCTAACTGCTTTACTACAGAACAGCGCACATTCAAGGCTTCCCTACTTGTTTTGTAATAACGAGTCCGTTAAATTCCCCACGCGTTACTTTCAATTTTCAAAACAGAAATAGACTTCATAGGGAACAACAGTGCCGTCAACTTGCTCTATACTCTCATAAAGCACGCTGAAATAAGCCAATCACAATCCTTGTTAGAATGGTTCAAATAATCTGACTGGTTGAACTAGTTTAAAGCCATTAAAAATGTTAGGCCATCAAAGTTCACAAGCTGCAATGATTCACAAACTAAAATACCTCGGGAGGTTGAGTTTGACACGCCTAAGGTTCTTCAGTCCTGAGGCACAGTCTGAAGTTGAAATATTTGGTGAAATCCGGCCGAATTGTTACTCACTAAAACACCAAAATTTTTACATATGACAATTAGAAAACGAACTGCTTAAGGCATCTGTTTTATTAATGAACCGACGACAGCCGAAATCACAGGAACATGAAGATTGCTCGGGACAGAGCCGTAAAACTCGGCTGCTGTGACTTCCACTCAACGCAACCAAAAGGATATCAAAGCAAGCTCTTATTCTTTCCCTCGAAGGGCGGCTAATGTTATTTCTGAGGCTTGCTTCACTGCAATGACCGGAGAACGCCATGATGAGCAAGCTGCAATGAACCTAAGAATGGTCGTGGTCGCTCTGATACCGTCATAATTTATGATGAATTTTGACAGTTATGCCACTGACTACTTTTGTTATGTCAGTTATGTTTTGTAGAAAAGGTTGTGGTTATTCATCGTGGTGAATAACAATAAAAGCTAAGTTTTTCGTTTGTCTCACGATGTAGTCACGTGTGATGTAGATCGCGACGTTTCGACTGCATACTGCTAGTCTTCTTTAGGCGATGAGGTCGACTGGTCATGCGTGATCTTATAAAGCATGATGCTCTGCCGTGATTAGTTGTTTTTCAACAGCTCTGATTGGTGCATTTCGATCCTTGCTGATCAGTGATTTGCTACCTCGGCGGTCCGCTGTCACACGGCTCTCCTGTTGTTGTGTTTTTTGATCATGGGCATCCACGCTTCTGGAAATTCTATTCCACTATCCCTGTTGATGTTGTTAGGGTGAAGTCTTATGTGAATTGCCTCTTTGACCCTGCGCGTGTAGTAATAAGGGCCACGATCAATAAACTTTACTTCGTTCCAGAGTGGCTTGTGTCCGTTGTTGTGGGAATGCTCTGAGACGGCGGAGGTCTCGGTACGGGCGAGTCGAATGTCTCGATCGATCGCAGGGTCAAGGAGACAATTCACATAAGACTTCACCCTAACAACATCAACAGGGATAGTGGAATAGAAATTCCAGAAGTGTGGATGCCCACGATCAAAAAATCAACCAAAGAAAGCGCGCGTTATTTCCGAACTTTAATAGAGATTTGCCTTGTTAGCCGCGATGCGGTAGTGGTTCTATTTTTTGTGTACAAATTGACAATTTTTAATTCCTAATCTACTACATGTGACAGGAAGGGACACTTCAATTATAACCCAATTTTAATTCATTACATTCGGTGTCAAACAAAAGATATCACTGTAGCGCCTATCTATTATAGGAGCCTCAAAATGTTAGGCCAAAATTTGACTGTTTGTGTAGGTGTGTGTCACTGGATATGAATGAAAACAATTTGCTTTTAACCCAATTTTAATTCATTGCATTCGGTGTCAAACAAAAGATATCACTGTAGCGCCTATCTATTATAGGAGCCTCAAAATGTTAGGCCAAAATTTGACTGTTTGTGTAGGTGTGTGTCATTGGATATGAATGAATATCAATTTGCTTTTAATAGTTGTAATTATATAATTTTTAACATATCTTAAATGCTTGTTACTTTCTCGTCCGTTTTTTTTTTAACTGTCATATTCATATGTTAATTTTTGTAATTAAGAAGGACTAAAAAAAAAAAAAGGCCGGTGAGGTCGAACCCTTGTTCCTTTTTGTCACCAATTTTTTGTTGGAAACTCAAAAAAACTTTTCATTAAATATGAGTGATTGTACGTAGCTTTAACTAATCAGCTTCTACTGATCATCGTTTTATCGATGTAAATGATGTTTCAGCGTTAAAAAAGAATGGAAGTAGTCCACCAAGTTATTAATTTGCCTCAAAGTCAGAATAAAAACATGAGTCAGATGTTTTAGGCAGGTAGATGAAAAAACACATGTACCACTCCAATTATATCCAAACTCCGAGTTAAACTGTTGTTAAATTTTGCATCTGTTTAAACTTATTCGAATTCTGATTGAACCAAGTTATAACGTTCGCTCGCCAGAAGAAAAAATTACAAAAAAATTATTGAAAGCGAACGGTTTCATAAGCCGTTTAGCAAAGACAGGATAACAGCAAAAATCTTTTGTCGCATGATCCTAATTGATGCTGTTTGACACACCGCCATGACGTCTAAATTAAAAATTACTATGACTGCCGCACGAATGTGCCATTCTGGCTTACTTTTTTTCAATAATTTTGCATTGAACGGAAAGTGGATAAACACCCGGCCCCGTTTGATCAAAGGATGAATAAATTTATCCACTGGATAAGCTTATCCGGTATATAAGAAGACTATCCACTGGATAGTTATCCAGCGGATAAAAAGTTGTTGCATAAAGCACGGATAGCGAAGCGTATAACTATCCGATGGTTAACTCGCTCTCCAGGCATTTGCCATGGTGATAACTCAGGCGTTGCGTGATCTTTTCGCTTGCGCGTGCTAATTGCGAGACAATGTGGCAGAAAATGTTGCTCCTTCCCCAGCAAAGTGCGCCAGAAAACCAAACTTTACACCAGTCGAATGTGCAGTTATTTTCAAACAAGTGGAAGAAAATATCAAAATCACCAATAGTAAATTTTCCACGACACTTTCAAACAAAAATAAAAGTCGGGTATGGGAGTTAATAACTGAAAAAGTCAATGCGCCCGGAGTTGCAAAAAAGAACTACCATGGAAGTGAAGGAAAAGTGGAGAGAAATGGTCAGTGGAGCAAATAAAGAAAATAGCAAACGTTCTACTGCAAGAAAGAAGACCAGGGGTGGAAAGAAACCAGATGCCTTAAAGGCTACAACGGGAAAAATTATCGAGCCATTTGAAACAGACCCGTCTTTCAGCGGCATTTTGGGCGGCATCGATTCTGTTAACGCGTGGTAATGTTTACAAATTGGTTGAGGTTGTGGTAATATTTCGGTGTAACCCGCAACGTGCTGAATATGCATATGTCTGCAGTACTTTGTTTTAATATGATGCAAGACAACTGATTATCTTTCCTTCTTTTGAAGAGTTTGCTTTATTTATAATTTTTTGGGGCGAAAAAATAGCCTGTAACTCGATAAAAATGTAATTTTTGTAAAGAAGCGTACGGTCGCGAGCGGCCGAACTAAAACATTACGGCCAGTGTTAGACCCAGGAAAGGATGATGCTATAGAACTATAATTTGTAGAAAGTTAAGTAAAGATTGTTCAATGATGATAGGGTGTAATAAGAAAAAAGACAATCCTTGTAATTTGCCTGCGTTCCTAAAATTCAATGAACCCTTTCTTTAAATAAATCGATCGAGAAGAGCCAAGTTGCCTTTTTTATCCTGGCTTCTAGATTAAAAAAAAACCTCAACTTTTAAAACATTTCGACTCACTACTGGTCATTTTCTTCCATTTTGTTAGTGCTGTGAACAAACACTGCTTCAAGTGTCTAGTTCCCTCAGTTTTTTTATTCAAAAATAGTTTCCTAGACGGTTCGCATTACAATTGTGCTATAACCTGCTTATCAGAAATTCTCCATTAAAGAGGTTCTTGACAACAAATAGTTTTTTTAAATGAAAATAATTCCCGTTTATTTCAATAAATATATTGTCTAAATGAAAAGGAGTATTGCATCAAATTTTCTCGAGCAATTTGCAAGAACTGCATACCACTTTATGGTAGAACTGCTAACAGAAACTTATGAATTAAAGGGTTCATACATTTTGTACAAATTATATGCAGCAATGGTATATTTTATTGCTTCTCGTCCAAAACGATACCTGGATCTCAATTCAGAGTCAGTGTAAGACTCTAAGGGATCGAGCTGGCAGCGAAAAATTCTTCTCTTTCGACGACGTTGATTGTCGGGCAAGTTACACCGAAGAAGATGTAACCGTCGAGCGGCCATTTTTTTTTTTTTTTTCCGGTGGATAAAAATTTATACTACCTGCCTAACCATGTATAAATTTATCCGTTGGATAGCAAGTGGATAGCGCTATCCATACTTTGAACAACCGATATGAAGCCATGGGTAAAATTTATCCGCAGGATAGCGATTTATCCAGCGGATAAGAAGTTATCCATCCTTTGAACAACCGGGGCCTTTATTTTGGAGATAATCTGGAAGCCTATAGCATATATCTGTAGAGCTTGGAACATTCTGTATTAGAATACCTAATAAACACAACATGAATTAGATTTTTAATAGATTTGCCCGCGTGTCGCAGGAAGTTGATAAGTCGAATCTTTTGCAAATGATAGTCAAGCGCTTGGCTTTCGTTGCTTATGATAAACTGACAGAAATATTAAAGGTAATACTTACCAAACGCACAACTTATAAAAAGGGTTTTTGCCATTTTGCAGGATTCAGTTTCACTCTTCATCAAGCCCCAGAAATGTACAAGTTACCACGAGCAGCTGTCGGCAGACAAAAGTTACTGTATTTGGGCGCGGTAAATGAAAGGAAATTTCTTTAGTAGGAGTTAGAATTAATGCAAATGATAACACTCGGTCGACAGCTCATGACACGAGTCATCATTTTTTTTCCACTTTTTTCAATAGATAGACCAATAAACGGAAAGAAACTTGCACCAGGTGTAAAGCATTGGTTTTCTTTCTAAGATCGAGAATTTAACGGGACAAAAACACTTTTATTATTTTCAAAGTTTACGAAAATGCTGTATTACTCACCAGTGGCCGATGTGTGTGTCCCATCTGTTCGTCCAAATAAACGAAAATTACTTCTTAGATTTCAACTCGCAGATGAAATACTGCCGTATTAGTTGATAGGTCTAACCTCGTATGTCATTAATTTTTCGCACACGTGGAAAACCTCAAGTCAAAGGATGCCTTCTTAAAGCGTGAGTTAAATATAACTTTAATAGGGTTGATCGTCAATTGGACAGAAAACCAACGGCGCCTCACGACTAATAGTCAAGCTCTCAGTTTGCAAAACAAATCCCTCCCCCCACCCTTCCCCCCTTATACGGTAAAAGCGTCATGAAGACCATCGCTTCTGAGTCCATCTCTTTGGATGCTAACCTTTTCCATTCAGGTCTAAGTTCCAGTCTACGCCCAGTCATTGCCATGTGTGTCCTGTGAGGAAGAAAATCCCTTTTTCAAGTGCCTCTTCATCCCCATCTATAGTGCTCTCCCATAATATAATTGCAAGGTGATCCTCAAATAGTTCTTAGTCTCATCCGCAATTCATTGAGTCAGTCGCCCCTTGAAGCGTTTATACCTATCACCTTTGAATAATTCCGTGCATTTCAGAATCATTTCCTTTGTTTACTCTCTTCTGAAGAAGTAGCCTTATATGCTAATTTATAAACAGGTATGACCTAATAATAGAATGTTGTCGATTGTTTTGTCGTGTTTACATTAGCTGAGCTTATGCAAGGCGTTCGTACTTATCACGTTGCGGCATAAACTGAGCTGGAAAAAGACTGCTCAAATATCTCTTAATCTCTTAGCAGTGCTCGACGCCCATTAAGGAAAAAGTAAAGCTTGAAGGATAAATTTTTGCAATTTGTCTTTCTAGCAAAGATAATACTTTAGTTGTAACATACGCTGTGATTGCGTCAATTGCTATGATGCACACTTCTCTATACCCCTTTGAAAGTAGGGGAAGAAATGTACGTAAAATATTTATATCCGATTTTATTTTTTATAGTCACATGTCAAACCCATAATATTGTTCAAGAAGTGTTTACAAGAACAAGAAATGCACTAATTTGGGGAGATGCATTAGCAGGTTTTAAGACAAATTACCTAACATATCTATTACTGCACTTTGTTCCTTTAAATTGTCTACTGTGTGCGATTTTTCTTCGATCGCTGTAAAATGAATTTTGATTATCATAGTTCCAATTTTAAATATCAGAACTCATCGATACATTTACGATTCGAAATAGAAATACTTATCTAGGGAATGCGGAGAATAAATGTCGAAAAATTCAAGTGATCCTTAATCCTTTAACTCCCATGAGTGACCAACACAGAATTTCTCCTTACAGTATTAATACAATATCGATCAGATAGGTTATGAGAATAAGGAAAAATTAGAGTTTGAGGATTTTCTAGTTGATCCAGTACCAAATTCTCAGAAGTAGCACCTGAGAATTGTATGGCAGACAGTGAGGAGAATTAAAAATGAGATCTTGGGCATTGAAGGGTCAAAATATGTAATCTCTTAGAATTTCTTTCTTTTTTAACATAGTTATTTATGCATTAACTCAGCATCATCTATCTATTCATCTGCTTATTTATGAGTAATAACATTAGATGTTGGACGAGGCTGCTAATATTACAGTTACAAGATACTATTTGACAAGTATCCTCTCCGATATGAAACGTAAAAGCATCATGTAGCAAGCGTTAAAATGTAGCGCACGAGGATTGAAAGGAGGCAGAAGAATTTGTAATAACTCAGTTCATTCCATGAGTTCATTGAACTTCTAAAGTAGATCTAACCTTTAATGAAAGTCAATTAATAACAGACAAGCCAGACCAACCTGTAGTTACGATAATTTGATCCTTAGTGCGCACAACTTAGCTTGTAGCTAACAAAAATTCTTAAGCAAGTACATGTATGCGATGTTCTGGAAAAGTCATTTAGATAAAAGATAGCACTAACTTGCAGCTTGTTAATTGCTGAAACAATAAACAAGAGAACGATCTCACTTAATAGTAATAAAATAATAGTAATAATAATAATAATAATGACAATTTATTGACAGTATTTCTACTCGGTAGCTCTACATCCGTCATACTAACTAAAAACTAACGACTTACATAATGCACAATGCACCTAATGTCAATTTACTTTTACTACGTGACATTTTAACAGCAGATTGAAACTCAGATCGATCGCCATCGACTAATCGCTATTTACTACACAATCGTTCAATGCAATAGAATGTTATTAGCGAACAGTTAAATCCATTGACTTAAGTAGAGTGTTAATTCGGTTTAATGTCACTGCGAGACTGCAATTCAACTGCCCGTGCATCGCCGACGTCACTTAAATTGACCTGTGGGCTCTTCCTTGTGGAGTCCTCCTTATTTGAAGTGGTAAAAACCACGTTCATCTTTCTTTTCAATCGCTCTCTGATCTGCAGATAGACAAGCAACAAACGATACATTTCTTTCAAATTTCATTCAAATAGTTATTCATGCTTAAACATCTGTGCTATAATATGCACTTTCCTTATTATTGACTCAGTTTTCTTTTCTTACCTGACTGTTTCGTAAGCCGTGTAGAACGAAAATCAGGAAACCCTGTTGCAGAAACAATTTGAAGATCATTTTTTTACAATATTCCACCTAAGTAGGAAGCGGCGGAGCGTGCGTTGTTTGGGTATCTCAGTGCACAAGACATATAATAATCGTCTTCAAAAATCAATATCTAATAAGTCTAATAAGACTGCTACGAATATATTTCGGGTCAAATGAATAGTTAACAGGTTTTTAAATTTTTTTTTTAAATCATCTAATCATTGCAAAGGCTTCTCTCTTTGGTTAGAGCTGTGTAAATTGAACAATCTAGATTGATTGAGATTAAGAGTTTCAATCGGACACTCACCTGAGTAGAGTTGAGTATTGTGAAAATGTAAGCGAAAGCCTTTTGCACAGGCGAAAGAAGACCAAATAGCCACGTGACACCCAGTAAAGGAATCATCAGTGCACAAGCTTTGATACCAATTCTGAGATCGACAACAAATTGAAGAGACATGTAAAAGACTGAGATGATAATTTTTTTTTCGCAGTCTCATTAACAGGTATCGTAAAGGCAAACTGGTCAAGGAATGAGGGAGCCAGGCGATTGTCGCCGTACAGTTTGACAAAGCAATTTGTTTTCATTATTTTGAATAATTTCATGTTGTGAATCCTACCGTATTTGCTTAATATGGTCGTCTTCACCTGTTGGCTGCACCAAATTGGTCATCTCCTTTATGACTCGTACGATTATCAAGATGTTGAGCTAAAAAAAAATTCCATATAAATCACTGAATTAAGTTTCTGGATGTGGTACTCGAGAAGCCAAGACAGTCTTACTATAGAAGTTATTCGATTAGTATAGGTCGGAAAAATAAAAATAATGATTCCATTACGGGGGATAGAAATCCCGACCCTTGCACCCGGATCCTCGACCACTGAGCTGATTCCGCGAATAAAACTTTCTTAACAGAATCAATTACGCTCAACGTAGCTAAAGTCAAATTTGATATCTCCTTCTAATCCTGTTCCCATCCTCTTTTTTAGTGTTGTGCAATGTGGTACTTTTTTGCCTAGAAAACACATCTTGGTATTCAACGCTGAAAAAGGTGAAACAACAAAACAACAAAAGTCTCTGGAGGTAACTAGTTTGGTAAACCAAGCACCGTGAAATAAATTTATCATAAACTCACAACTTCGATTAACGTTACAAAGGAGACGAATATCCAGATCAGATTGTTAGTCGAAGACAGCCAACAACTAGGAGAATTGAAAAACAAGAATGAAAGTCATCAGAATGAATAAAAAAAATCCAAGGAAAAACGGAACAAGAAAATTAAAACGAACTTAACTTGATAGTGCGCGGGAGAGAGAAGAAAGGTAAAAAGTAACCTATTGATGTGTTTCTTACTATTTATCACTGACATAGCTTTGTATTCCTTCTTTCGCAGCAGCAATGCCAAGTGAAATGGCCATCATGATCATAGGGAGACCTAATCATACAGACAAAAAAATTAATTCAAAGCACTTGACTTGATGACAACACCAAATATGGGAGCATGGTGTAACTTCCAATATATGTTGTGGTAAAATTAATAATGGAAATACCCCATGAGATGACGTGATACATGTGCATCTTGGTGTTGATGTTGTAAACTTTCACAACGAACAGGTAGAGGTAGATTCCCTCGACCAACATCCAGCAAAAGGCAGCCGTCAGAAAATATTGCATCAGAGCTGCTACTGCGATACAAGCAGCCTGCAAAAGGAAATATGTTTTGTGTCTTTCTGTGCTATTTTCTAAAAATATTTAGAGCAGAAAGATTTGATTAATTAAATTAACAGACCGGAAAAGCCTCTCACCGTGTGTTCTGTGGCGTTTACTCCTGCGAGAAAAATTAGCTGTCCAACTCCGAGGGACACAGAAAGACTCAATCGAATTTGAGACAAAGGTTGACGGACGTCTCTGGTCAAATGAAAGATGACGAAAAAAGAAAGTAAAAACAAAAACCAAACATGGGTTTAAAAAAAAACAAACATAATCAAAACAGAAATAATTCAAATGAAAAATTAAGAAAAAAAAGAAAAACAAACAAAACAAGACAAACACCAAAACAAAATCAATCAAATGCTTCAGAATCAAAAGGAAAATAAAAAGCCAAGTTGGTATAGAATAAGAAAACAATAAGGACCGAGGAAAGAGACCATGCATCGTTAATGCTCTTCTAATTGAACATGAAATCTGATGTAAATTGGTAATTTAATCGACTTACTTTACCTCAGTTTCGGAGAAATTAAAAGGAACATTTTGGATAACCTAAAGTTACGTTTATTCCTTAGTTTTTTTTTCCTTTGTTGAGAAATTACAATCGATAGTAAGTAGAAGAAGACATGAGAATGTATACATCATCGATTATTTAACCACCATACTTACGTAAAGAAAAAGTACAAGGCTGATGTTATAAGCATCCCGATGATCGACAAGCTTAATCCTATGTAGGTAATTGTCTTCAACACAGTCTCGTCCTGTTTGGAAAGCTGCGTCACATAGCACAAAAAAAGAAAATAGAGACACGCAAATTAGCTCAGTTAATTTACATGTATCACCAGTGCTGGAAGAAGAACATACATATAATTGGTTACCTTTGTGCCATCGTTGTAATCAAATAATACAGCAAAATGAGTCAAATGATTGCAGCTACAAACTGTTTCTTCTGAATTGCTTCTCGACGTAACTACATGGCATCCTTCGTCTGAAAATCCGTCGGAGCTGCAAAGAAGAAATAACCTCAGCAGGCAAGACGTAGTGTAGGAAATAGCCTTCCATGGTACCAAAAGAGCGAATTTCATCAAAACCCTTTTGATTTCATAATATCGATTACATTATTAGCAGTTCATTATTAGTTTTAATAAGTCAAGGCGGAAAATATTTATAATACTTCCTTGATAGGCATAGATTCAAACTTTGATTAGGTATATTCCAAATTTTTAGACAGAAGTTGTCGTAGATAGAAGGATTATAGCTTGCAAAAATTATTTTAATTGAGAGAATAATCTTATTAGGACAAATTATGAGGGAAAATTAATGATAAATTAAGGAAAAAAATAATGAAACAACAATTCTAGCTAAGTGTCTCCCACGACAACCGGAAAATATTGGCGGGAACATGGAGGCAAACGGACGACCAAACGAACAAGAAAATTCTAAGAAAAGTAGATGATGTATTGTAATTTTTGTACCTATCGCTGAAGCCTCTCCAAAACATACAATTCTTCACCCTTTCTTCTATCTGAAAATGAAATCATTGCTGTTAGATGAAATAAAAACAGCGCATTCCAAACAATCTTTCTTTACTTTTACTTTTTACTCTTTTCATCTGACTTAATCTTGCTTACCTCTATGTTTTTGAACTTTAAGACGACATTTTCCAGCAACTTTTTTGGTTTAGGTTCCATTGCTGCCATTATTATTCTGCTACCCAAATATCTGTGTACAAAATGATTTGAAAATGAACCAGAATGTGACACAAATATGGTGGTTTAAAAGAATGGTAGCGGTGGTGACGATACCAAACGATTTGCTCATTTTAGCCGATGTTCTCTACGTAGGGAAGATAACGCCAGTCGACGGTATCCAGCATATAAGTGTTAACAAAATGTTTCGTTCTATCTGCTGGATAGCGAATTATCCAGTGGATAGCGTTAATCACCCTTCGAACAACCAGGGCCAGGTGTTTTGAACACAAAGAAGACAGTATTGTTACCTTGTGCTTCCTGTTCCATTCCTGCTGGGTTGACTTTTCGGCAGTATGTCTTGCAGATTCTTATATACGCACCCGACGACCACTGATCCTGAAAAAGATAAATCTATGTATTTCCTTCAGACTATAAAAGAAATAAACCCTATGAGTGTTGGTTTTGGAAGCAAAGCCTGCGAAAACTTGTGAGCTGTCCTTCATGAGAAATTACGTCAACGCTGTTTAAAAAAATATAAATTTTTTCAGACTGAAGACGACAGGTAATACAAACCGTTATCTGCAAAATTCGAAGAGGCAATATTAATGTTGGTTTGCCATTCGTGTACGTCGAAGTAAAAGTCACTTGCATTTTGGCGGTAAGCCTTTTGGACTTCCAGCACTGTCGGACAAAAAAATTGACTTCCTGCTTATGGACAATACGATAAAAAATGTGACTAATTGAAGAATTAAGAGACAGACAACATCCAACATAAGCGTTTGTAAATGACTCGGGACCCACTCAGTTGTTCTGAGGCCAACTGGCGCTCACCCAAGGTTAAATTCTAATCCGGGTTTCTTATTCTTTCGTTCAAAAGCTTCATTGTTTTTAAAGAGTCCAATAATCATCAAGATTATAGTCAATAGTCCAATAGAATTATGCTGAATTCTCTTTTATAGCTTTCATATCTGAAATCAGTTTTCACACTACTCCTCGGTTATCTAAACCCAGCTTAGAGCAATCCAGCCCAGATGTAAAAGTCATTATCCTATTTAGGAGATAAAGTGTCAGTCACTGAGACCGTGAATAAGCATCGACGAAGAAGATTATCACAAATCTGATAAAAAGGTGGTGTTTTAACTCACCCATTTTGTGGCTTACAATCTTTATTGGAAGGTGATGCTTGCCATAATTAAGAGCAAATTTCTCGAAGGCGACAGCCACATTAAAGATGGACTCTCTTCCTCTTTGAAACTCGTCTATGGTGAACTGGCCCTCATGAGGTTTTGTCATGTTTTCAAAACTGACGATGAAGTTTTCAAACACGTTTACAGCTTCCTGAAATCACGTAAAACGTTTTATTCTTGTGATTTTTAATAATATTATTATAATCTATGTCAACAAAGTGTTTCTAATTACTTATAAATCTGTTTTGTAACAAATAGTTACCCCTTTGCCATGTATTTGATTAATTATACTTATAGATCATTAATGACGCCAAAATGTGTAAGAACAAAGAAACGAATCATTGATGTGCAATACTCCTAAAGTTTTATTTTTATCCATCACCAAACAGATGCGCGGCAACTTGGAATCTGCTTTGTTTGATAAAAAGTAAAACATCAAAAAAGGAACGACTAAGGAGAGAGTTTTGATGTTAAAGAAGAATATTGTTCCGGTCCTAGAACGATATAAGTATACAGAGTGTTGTTTGAAAGCTGTTTTTTCCTTGGCTCAGGTGGCCTTATCAGATTTCTTTCCCGTCATCTGTCTCTTCCTCTGTCATTATTTTTCTTCACATATAAAAGTACACACATGCATATATGTAATTATATACTCGTTTTCAAAACGTTGCCATTTGAACATATGTATATTTATGATAAAGTTCGGATAATATGTTGATTTAGCCAAGCCTTAGAGCGGAGCTCGCATTCGTGCGGAGCCCGCACGTCTCAAGGGCACAACGCCTTGCCCCGGCCAGGACTAGAAACCAGGTCGTCCGACTCGGAGCCCAGTGCACTGACCACTGGACTACTGGACAAAGCCGTGGCGTTGGCGTGCCCGCGGTACAGTTGACCACGCATGTTAAAAGTAGCATCTTGTACGGTCGTACGGTCGTACATCAACATTTTTTCTGGCTTGATGGGTTACTACTATTTTGTATAATTAAGGGGCTACGCTCTGCGAGCTCCGCTATAACGCGCGCTGTCATTGGTCGAAAGAGCGTGCTCTATGAGAGTATAGAGCATAGAGCTGAGCTAAAGCTGTCACACCATCTGCCAAATTGTACTATGTTCGACCTTTTCCGGGACTTCTTTTTAGCTTTTTTTCGATAATTGAAAGCGAATTTCGGAACAAGCGAGACGGCAAGTAGCAACAGAAGAACCAGGCGCCGTAATTTACGTTATTAAAACGTGAGCAGATACGAAAATCCTCAAAGGAAAAACAAAATAGACATTCCGAGTTTTAAAGATTTTCACGCTCAGTTAGATTGCAAGCTTACGTACGGTAATAAAATTCAAACACAGCTAACACTCGTATAGTATATAAAGCTCCGTGTTCAAAAAGAAAACAAAACAAAACGGAAACGACGAAAAATATAACCAAACTGGCATAACTTAAAATTCGTACTTGTCATAACGGTGTCTGAGCGAATACGATCATGCTGAAGTCCATCGGGGCTCGCTTATCATGGCGATCTCCGTTCATCGCAGTAAAGCAAACCTCAGAAACTACATCGGCCGCCCTTCGAGTGAAAAAATAAGAGCTTACTCTGATATCCTTTCCAATGCGCTGAGTGGAAAGTCACATCAGTCATTGCAGCCGAGTTTTGCGGCGCTGTCATCCCGAGCGATCTTCATGTTCCGGTGAATTCGGCTGTCGTTCATTCAAAAAATACTCGCCTTGAACAGTTTGTTTTCTACCTTGTCATGTGAAAAACCTCGCGTGTTTTCATGAGCCATAATTCGGCCGAAGTTCACTCAACATTTCACTGTAAGATTCTGTATTAGAGACTTAAAACTTCAGACGAAAATGTTAAATTCGACCTGCCGAACTATTTTAGTTTGTAAACTATTGCAGAATGTTGACACTTTTTGACAGCTTTAGTCTTGTACAGCCAATCAGATTATTTGAACCATTCTAACAGGGACACTGATTGGCTTATAGTAGCGTGCTTTATGAGAGTATAGAGCATGCTGACGACACTGTTGTTCGCTTTGGAAAGAAAGTTTGTTTTGAAAATTGAAAGTAATGCTTAGGGAATTTAACGGATTCTTTATTATAAAATAAATAGAGAAGCCTTGACTGTGCTCTGTTCTGTTATAAAGCACTTAGGAAGCGGCTAGAGCACGAAAGAAGTGGGGAGAAACACGAGACGTAGTCGAGTGTTTCTCCCTACACTTCTTTCGTGCTCTAGCCGCTTCCTGCGTGCTTTACAACAGAACAGAGCATAGTCAAGGCTTCTCTATTTGTTAAATGATACATACACCTTTTCTTTTTCCATTCAAAAAGCTTCTGATAAAAGAAATTAAAGGGAAGTTGTTCAAATGGAATTACAATAGTTGCTGTCAAAATAACCATAAACGTTTTGATCCCTTGATGTAAAATATACATGCATCGTGCATCACATTTTTCGATCCAAAAAGGACAGGTGTATATATTTAATGTATATTTTCAATTGGCAACGTTGAAAAGGGGTGTATCTTTGTATACACATACATCTATATCTGAATGCATTCTGCATTTTAACATATGTCATTGGTGGAGTTAGATACCTGCAAAGAAGTGTTTCTGTCGCTATCGAGTCTGCCAAGTTTGGAAACATATTCATTTGCCTAAAATAATGAAAACGTCAGTCACAGGTATGCACTAATTACCTTCTAAAACATAACAGGTACAAGGACCGCATATGATCATAACACTCACCAACTTCTGAACTGAATTTGAAGGCGACGGCGATGGAGATGGCAACGGCAACGGAAACGGAAACAGCGATGGCGATGGTGAGGGTGAGGGCAACGTCAATAGAGACAGTGATGACAATGGCAATGGTATCGGCGAGGGCAACGGTGCTGCTATCGATGGCGACAGCGACGTATGTGCCATCGCTGATGCTGATGGCCATGCTGTCACAGTTGGCAATAAGGGCAAAGTATTCAGAAAAGAAAAAAAGAAAGGAGTTCCCTGAAACTGATTTATGTATTCCTCCTTGTACCAATGTTTTGTTACTGAACGTATTTGATCCCCAATTGATTTGATGACAAAGTTTCCACATTCCCTTTTAGTGATATTCAGAAACAGGAAAATCCCGTTGGCATTGCGAAATATGACAGGCTTCTAGAGGAAATCTTACTAGCCTCGCTCACATGCAAATCATGCTGGATAGCCCGATTGATCCGCCATAATCGCATTTACTACAAATCTTTTCATTTCTTTCATTGAGCCGGTTCTGAAACCTTTATTATGATTTTTACCAGATGTGCAATTAGTCCCAGTTTGTTTTTTTTGATGCTCGATATCAAAATGGTAGGGATAGATAAATTGAGTGGTACTATGGTCTATAACTAACGCACCAGCAAAACATTTGAGAGGAGTTTAGTTTCCTGAAGACTCCACCGAACTCTTTTATCTTCACCCCATTTATTTGCGTGATCCGTGTGAAAGCCAAACTCATTTGGATAGTTAGCCGACTAAGGCTAGGAGGGGGAGTGGTTCCTCCATGTTCTTTATATTCGATTGTCGTATACATATACACGTTTGCAACATAGAAGGGAAATAGAGGCATGGGAACCTAAGATCAACGTGCTCATGACTGTGTAATCCATGATGGTATTTCTATCACGCTAGGGGCCAAGACACGTTTTTTAGTTTCACTTAGGAGGCGCAAATTAAGGTATCTCACAAATGTAAGCTTTGGGAGCTACCCCAAACAGATTAGTAGATATGCCCTGATCATCCACATGGGAATCCTTGACTATAAATGCCACATTACTATTTTCTCTTGGCTGGTTTTCTCTCCATTTGCTGATAGTCAGTGGCCTTTCATTCACCCAAGTCCACTCTCCGTTCTTTTTTTCAAACCGATGTACCACTCCAATAGTCGAATCTCGCTATTAATAAAGTTCCATTCCTCTTCAGTTTCAATAGAAATTAGGTCACCTCTACATCCTTCACAAAGACCTCTGTTAAACCCCCATTTTAATCCAGAACCCATAAACGTGTGACAAGAATCTCTACAACAATCTTTAAAACAGTGAAACAATTCGTCAGAAATAATCCTTTGGAGATTTATCGAAGGTAAACAAATTTTCTCTCAGAAGCGCGTCCCCTCTCCTCTACTCATGAGGGTAAAGCTGAAATAAGTCCATTATCACGATGTTCTTTGACCCCGTTGCAGCAATATTTCATTCATCACTACGAGAAACTCCATAATTTTAAGTCCTGATCGACATGAAAGAAACTGGCATAGATAGATCAAGAATAATGGCCAATTTAAAAAGTAATTGGTTCCACGCAATGAGGGAATAAAGGCAAAAGGTTGTATCATCTTATTACAGTCTGATAGCACTTTTCTTACGCTCAAGGGCTTTGAGGACTCTCTTAGTTTACCTAAGTGCGTTGTCATCTTATTTTTGCGAGTTTCACAAATAGAGGCGTGCAGCTGAGCCCTTTGGGTCACTTGTAGGCCCAGGTTACTGCCATTCGAAGACGTCTTGACTATTATTGCCACATCTCCGACGTCAGTTGGCTATTTTTCTTTACATTTGTTAATAGTCAATGGTTTACCACTCACCCAAGTCCAATTGCCGGCTTCTTTTTTCAAACTAATGTTCCACTTATCATATAGCGATTTGTGATTTTGAATCAGGTCATTTAAAAAGTTCCATTCTTTTACGGTTTCAATGGAAATTAGGTCAGCCCCCCGCTTTTGACATAATTTTCTGTTATCGTTCCAATTTATTCCTTGGTGTTGAAACATGTAACAGGAATCTTTAAAACATGAAATCTAGCATTCTGGGGAAAAAATAATAAAAAAAAGGAGAATAACTAAAAAAAGGAATCCAAAAGTGTTGGACTTAACCTTTGTTCGAGGCTTAAATCATCATTTATTTTCTCACCTCTTCCATGTACTTCCTTCACCGAAGTTAGTAGTACTGTCGAGGAAAATTAAAAAACCTGAGTTTTTATTTTGTTTGTTTGTTTTTGTTTTTAACATGTGTTAACAGCAATGTCACTTTTGAGTTCACTCGCGTATGCAGACTTACTGTAATGGCACCCAAACTATGAAATCACTAGACTTTATAATTATAATTCTTTCGGAAGCAAGGCCTTATTCCCCCTTACCCCCCCCCCCCCCCACCCTAACAAAAAGGCAACCTTTTGTAAAAACGTCCTCCTTAATCCTCAAATTTCCAAGTAAACTAAAATAATACGAATTAAACTTAGAAATTCTCCAAGAGCCTTAGCAAAGTTCGCTAAACACATACGCCAAGAAAACCTTATCTTTGCCGCGAACTTCGCGTTGAGGAATCTGTCTCAAAAGATAGTTGACTCGTAACATTAATATTCACGTGCAGCCGAACTCTTCAATAGCACGTGCACCTACGTAACTCCCTTCAAAAGTAAGCTATTCGCAAATGACACAAAAGACAGGACACCTTTTCGCGAAATTTCAATATTTTTTAATTCCGAATCCACCACACTTTCAAGGGTCCATTCATGTAGTAGTTCCTTTTCGGGAATGTACGCCACAACGACCATCCCTCTGTGTTTAAAGTAAGAACGCAAATATTTTCCGGTCAAAATGCCTGCCACCTGGCAGAAAATGATCCACGCTTTGATTTTTTGGCCTTTGTAAACTTCGGAAGACTAGACTTCAAACTTCTCGCCACGCTAACGAGCTATATGCGAGCTCTCCAAAAGAAACGCAGGTTACAAGTCACATTTGTGTTGCTGACTAACATAACTTCAACATGTCCTCTGTGGTAAGCGCTGAGAAGAATTATCAGGAGGTTGGGATACTTCTCGAAAGTTATGCAATTCCTCGATAGCCTCTTGCAATCTACCTTTCTCCCAATCCAACCTTCTCTTGTGTTTAAACAAGTCTATGTCAACACAGAAAAAGTCAAATACTTTCAGACGTTACTGTTTAGTTTTCGAAAATTTATCGACACTCTCCCGAGTGATATTTACATTTGCATAACCCTGAATTTTAAGGGCTATCTCGATTAATTAAAAAAATATATTCTAAAACTTGATTTAAGATGTGGAAATATACATTTCGATGTATTAAGCTCAATTTTGAATTCATTACGATCAGAGGAGCAATTTTCCTCTCCTTGCTAAAAAGGTAGCTACAAGTTTTTCAAACATGGTTTGCTCTTCCGTTAGATAACCGATAGTAATTAACACTATGATGTCATAGAGACTAATTGTTTGGCACTAAGCTTTTTGGTATCGAACCACAAATAGAACTCAGTGGTTTAGGTTAGGTCAAGCCTAGAAATTATCTTAAGAATGGAGAGGGAACTGGATAAAACCTCCATCACCAGAAGTTATCGACTCGGCCTGGCTAGAACGACGAGACTTGCATCCGTCAAACCTAATGCCAACTTCAGTCAACACAAATTCATACATTCGGCCAGTGAATTAAAAACCATCGATTATTCTGAGAGGCCACTTTATCGGTGAAAGACAAGAGCACTATCGCAGCTTATAGGCGACTGCGTTCAAATGATCCTCGACATTATTGCTAGAAATAATACTGTTGCGCAAACCGTCAAAACCCAACAACTATGGTTTATAATAGTCGTTGCAGGTTTCAAAATGTTATATTTTCTCATTCTAGCTTATTGTTTTCATATTATTCAAGTCTACATTTTAGTGAGGTTAAGAAACGCAAATCTAGTCTTACAAAATAACCTGATTATTTTTCTAAAATTATTTTCATGGTTTTGGAAAACCACTTTTCTACAGCATTCTGATATTAGATATATAATACAGCTGGTACTCACTTAGCGTGCAACTTATAAAAAGCGCGTTGAACATTTTCCTGGCTTTGATTCCACCTGTCATCCGAATTCATCAAGACAAACTATGGATATGTTGCTGTCAATTGTTGTCATAAGATTGATGAAAGTTTCTCTCGGAGGCTGCGCATGTGCAGCATATCTTTCAAACTCTCTCGAACTCACTTGCACCATGTAGACAGTTTTGCATATCATAAGCTTTGATCGCTTTGCGTCACTAAAATTTTTTTCTTTTTGTGTACCTTAGTAAACCGTGGACTATTTGCTCCGGACGCGGAGGATCATTTTGTTGGATAGAAATAAGAACTTCATGATCAATTTTATGGAAGTGCACATGGTAATGGTGTAAAATGTTTCTATTGCTTTGGTTGTCGTCAGTTCATTTATCAAAGCACATGTGCAGTGTTTTTTCACGCGTTTTGAACTCCATATTCGAATTTCTTTTGATGCATGCACAATGTCCTAACTCTCGACGTGACATAAGTCATAACTTGGTTCTTCTTAAATTGAACGACTAATTAAAATAAAGGCTCTAGACAATAGATGATAAGTATTGTTTGGCTTCGTAAAAACGAGAATTGATAAACCCATGAACAAAGCTAATATCAAAATGTTTTAATGACTGGCACTTTCTAATTTATTAGCAAAATAAAACTTCAATCATTAAAAACTGGTTAAGCAGCCTCCGAATCGAAACAATAGCTGTTTAAATAATGTCTTTTGTCTTTTGCTGAAAATTGTGCGACATTTTCTAGAACAATCTAATTTCCTGTTATGCGTGATAAATTTTTTTTGCAGGTGTTATTACGTAATTGTATGCTAATCTTCCGCTCATTAATCTTCCCTTATGGCTCGTTTTAACACGTTATTGCTATTTCTGCTTTTATTAAATAATTCAGTAGTTTCTAGTTCGTTGTATTATCATTTTAGTTTTAGCAGGCATAACATATCCAATATTTTCCGAGCGCCTGGTCATTAATTTCTGCATCTGCCTAACCTAATACCTGTTAAGTTGACAGATAAAGAAGCCTAGAGTGTGCTCTGTTCTGTTACAAAGCACGCAGGAAGCGCCGAGAGCGTGAAAATATTTCCCTACGTTTTGAGAAGAGAACTTCTAGAGGGACTCAATGGGGTGATGACTTTTACAGCTAACGGTTAAAATTTTGGCCAATTTACGGTTACGGTTAATATCTTACCATGGTTCATACCAGAATTATTTTTATTTTTTTAAGTTTAACTTTTTTAACAACAGATGGTTAAAATTTGTCAATTTTTACGCCTAACGGCTAACTTTTTAAGCTGTTTACGGCTAAAGGTTAACCCCATTGAGACCCTCCTTCTAGGATTGCTTCCAAATTGCTCGACTTCCGTCGCTAGACTAAAAACGTCTAATTTTCCGGCTGCCATCTGACGCATAAATGAGTAGCGATAGTGTACGCGATTCTATTTTGACATCTTGTCACAACAGCGTGGAAGGATAGCCACTAAGCCACTGTATTCCTTTGATCCTAAATGTGGCTGCTTAGAGCTGTTATACAGACCACCGCAGGGGAAACATCACGAATAACGATGACTTTCAATTGTTTTTCAATCATTTGGCATTGTATAAAAACTGAAAAACGTTGTGACACGAGCTAAAAGAAGAATCGCCATCATTCTCTCTGATGATTGCCACCTGACAAGTGTTTTTTCCAAGCTTCGTTTGCCTGAGTGTTCCAGGAAATTCCAAAATCGATGTAAGTTTTTTCACAAAATAGAAAGTCAAGTCTGTAGATCTCATTGCTACATTATACCCGACAGACATAAGAGAGGTGGTACTTACCCAGTGCACAGCTTCTTAAAAAGGTTTTGAATTTTTTTTTTTGGATTCGGTTTCACCTACCATCCAACTTGTCAAGCCCATTATGTACACAGATAGTTATAAGTAGCTGTCGTTACATTACGTTACATTGTATTTGGGCACAGCGCATGAAAGGCTCGTTCTTCAAGTATCTCAACCTCTCTATATTTAAATGCAAATCATAATACTCGGTAGAACGTTCGGGACGTGAGTCAGCTTTTTTTCCCCTTAGTAAGACCAATAGACTGAAAGTAGCTTGCAGCAGGTGTGGAGCATTGTTTTTCTTGTTAAAAATGAGAAATTCACGACATAAACGGACTTTTATTAAGGTTAACGTTATATAAATTTGTAGTCCAATATTATCAAGTATTAAAAGAGATTTCTTAAAGGATAAAACGGTAAAAACGAACGATAAAATCCGACGTTTCGGAGTAGTCATGACTCCATTATCAAGGTAAAAGTTTAAAACATGCAAATAACAGTATTTAAGCGATGTGGCGCGAAAAATTAACATAATAGGTGCGAAGATTATACAAATACTTTCGCACGAATAGAGTCCAAACAAACTCACAGTCTGATTAAATTGGTATTCATAAACAAAGTAATAGCTAGCTCACCTGATTGTAACATAAAGAAAACCCAGCAAGGACCCAACCAGTCTGTTGTCAGTTGTCAGACGGGCCAAAAATGGGTAGAACAGCATCCCGTATACAAGAACAGTGACAATATTCTGAAAAACTAATTAAAACAGAGTAATTAATTTTTTGTTCTGCTAGCTCATGTTGTGTGCTGGACTGCTGTGCAGCTAAAGGGGGTAAGTTTCTAAAGAAACAGTGGTGCTGCTTCAGTGGGAGAGTATAACAGGGTAATTTAGTATTATTGACTGAGTTGATAATGTAAATGGAATATAGTGATGAGAAAACAGGAATAAATTAGTTAAATGAAAAGCATTCGTTGATACCATGGGGCTTAAGAGTGCCTATTTGAAAGAAAATTTTTGTTCTGGAGTTTTGCGGCTCTCTGAACTGCCTAGATGGAGGGAAAGGCCACAAAGTGCCATATGCTGCCAAGAATGATTATACAGATTAAAGTGTCTAGCGACCGGTTTGGATGTGTCCTTGTCATTTCTTTTTACATCACAAAGGTGTTATGGCTCTGTTGGTATTTGAAGGTTCAAGCCCCAGACCACAACACTCAGGTCTTAAAATAACTGAGAAGAATGTACTGCCTTTGATAAAACATCTGCAAATAGTTAGACGTTCTAGTCTTCTTGGCTAAGGATGATAAACCATAGGCCCCATACTCTCCTACATCTCTGTAATGGTTATAAGCAGGGGAAAGTAACCCTCTAACTCCCAGAAATGATTAACAGGTAACTTCTCCCAATAATATCCTTACATTATCCTGCAAACAGGTGATGAGAATACCCAAACCTTCTCAGGTAGAAGATGTTTTCTTGATCCAACAGAAAAGTTCTCATAACTGATGAATATGCAATTGTGCAGCAGCTAGAGGGGAAAATTAATTAATAATCAGATCTTTAGAGTTAAAGAGTAAAACAACTGACAGACTTCAACAAAGAGTAACAAATGTGGCTCCCAGTGTGGTCATCTGGCATTGTTATCATTTATAGAGGCCCACATTTACACCTGCTTTTAAAAGCCAAACTGAGCCAGCCTGTCTAAATATTCCAAATAAATAACTTAATATCAAGTTCACACCCTCATCACAAATGGAGGCTAGGTGCCCAAGGGGCCCAGGAGCTGCAACTACAGTCACACCCCAAGGTGCTAGAACACCAACTGGCCTATCCAACGCTAAACTGGCAGCTTGCTGAAACAGACCCCGCAAAAGAAACCTTCTGCTATCCTCAAGGACAAGAATCCCATGCTACAGAACAGCAAACACAACACAGGCACATGGTGGAACAACACATGCACTGATAAGGTATACTGCTGGATGAGGACGGCCCCAGGGCCTTAACATCCAAAGGAGTACTGCTGCAAACTCTGAAGAATGCAACAAATACTGCACAGATGCTAACAGCTGGCTAAGACACAAACCAAATGCCTGAAAACCCTGACAATGCATGTATTTCCTCTTAGTCATTTAAACTGTATGTTAAATTCTATATAACTATATTAAAATTTGTCCATAAACTAACACTGGCCCATGGCAACTGAGTTAACCTAGAGCTACTATAGTCTTTAAAATGATTTTAACAGTGAGAGAAAAAACAAAGTAAAACAAACAAACACTCAATTTGTTCAAAATCAGGTTGCTATGGTATGACCACTTACCCTACACCCATCCAGCTGGGTCAGGCATCTGAAAAATTCCATTTTTTGGTTGTAAAAACACATTTAAGCATGTGCTAGAAGTGGCACCAAACATAACAGCAAAAGTGAATCTGTTGCCAAAATCACTTAAAAAATCAAATGGTCTGAAAGGAAACCACACAAACATTGGTAAAACAGTGGCACCCAAATAGCTCACTTAAAAATACACTCCCATTAAACCCATTCAATAAGGGAATGCCTCATATTATTGCACTGTGTTTATATTCTAACTGAAATGGCACAATTTCCTGATAGATCAGGGGTGGGGGAGTTTTTGGGTCAATTTTTGCTGCGTATGTACCGCTGGCCTCTCAGAAAACCTGCCCCATTATATTCTACCCTGTGGCCAATTATACACCTCATCTGCTAAGTGAGTCACTTTACGGGAAGTGTTATTTTTGTGATCCCATCTACCCATGTGCTGCTGGCCTCTTGGAATACCTGCCCCATTATAGTCTATTCTGTGGCCAACTATACACCCCATCTGCTAAGTGAGTCACTTTACGGGAAGTGTTATTTTTGTGATCCCATCTACCCATTTGCTGCTGGCCTCTTGGAATACCTGCCCCATTATAGTCTATTCTGTGGCCAACTATACACCCCATCTGCTAAGTTAGTCACTTTACCAGAAATGTAATTTTTGCAATCCCAACTTAGTCAATTTCTGTTTATAGATGCATCTATCTAGCTAAAACCAAGTCTTTTAAGTAGGTCATGATCCTAAAATGAAGCAACACATTCGTTTACGTGAAATTAGAACACTTTATTTGTCATCTTCAGTGCATTAACATTCTGGTACATTTCAATCTAATTTGAACCTTTCTGTTTGTAAATCCTTACTTTGATGTAGGAAAATTTTCCAAATCATGAAAATGTGTTAGTCCCCACTCTTGTAACTCTACTGAAAATGTAACCTCATTATAGTTAAGGGAGTCATGAAAATGCCAGCTGACTTAGCAGCACATCCCCATTGCCTTGTATTACAAGAAGCAACTTTTTTGAAAAAAGTACATGTAGCTGGGTGTCACTTAGACTTAGGTACAATTACTTAAAAGTACACAATGATCAGACTTTATGTTGCTGACCTTCAATGTAAGCCTTGACCTTTTTGCTTGATTAATCAATTCTGTACTCACATCAGCAAACCAGGAAATCCATTGCAGTTTTGAAGTCCAGATTTGACCCTTTGCTTGACAAAGGCCAGTATAAAAATAATGATGAGCTTAAAAATAATAATACATGTAATAATTATTATCAATCATGCAAGCATGAAATTACAGATGAAGTTTTAGCAAAACAGTAACACCTTTCAAACTTTCTGACGTAAAACAAGGGGGAGAGGGGCACCTATTCCAGAGGGGGTGCTTATTGGAAGGAGGGCGCTAAACCAAATCATTGCTACATGTAAACAATTTTGTTGTCATTATTTGATGAAAGTTACTTCAGTATTTCACTTACAGCTGGAGGAAGACAGCCAAGATCAAACAGACTCTCCTTGATAACTATGGGGCACCTAAATCGATAATTTTTGAGATTGAAAATCCATCAGCATGTCTCAAAAAACAAAATTACAAAGACATCTTTGGATTAAAATAAATTTGTTATATTATTAGTATTCAAGAAGAAAAAAAGGTGTTACAGAACATTAAAAATTCATGCTGGAATGGAAAATTAAAAAGTTAATACATGATAATGCAGACAAAGGCAGGATCAAGCTGTCTGGCATGGACACCTCAGCCTTCAGCCCACCCCTTGCGAACTGAATTCCCAGTTTTCTGGGAATTCCTAGGAATTCCTAGGAATTCTCAAAAATTCCCAATTATGCAAATGACCCTTGCAAACTGAATTCCCAGTTTTCTGGGAATTTCTGGGAATTTCTGGGAATTTCTGGGAATTCCTAGGAATTCCTAGGAATTCTCAAAAATTCCCACTTATGCAAATTAACTCTGATTTAAAAAGCTTGGAATTACTGGGAATTTCTGGGAAAGGAAGACTCCAGTTTTGTGAGGACTTGGAATCCCTAGGAATTCCTAGGAATTCTCAGCTTTACAAACTACCTATAATTTAAGAAGTGTGGAACTCTTGGGAATTTCTGGGAATTGAATTTGAGGCAATTTTAATACCCTGAGGTCCTCATAAATTCTAAGAATTTCTCAATACCTTGAATGTGAAGGTTTTAAGAAAAAGAGTAATTTCAGAGGCTTAAAACTTTGGCTCAATAAAAGGTATGCTATACAAAACTTACCAAGAGATATACATACATGTACACGTTTATTACTTAACGATCATGAAATTTATTACTCAAACTAAGTTTTAGTAAATCTTTACATGAATATGGATTTTCTCATGAACCAGCTGTCAGTTATGTTAAATGGAAATTGCCAACTTCCACAATAATTAACAATAATTACATTGTTATCTTACTTCCCTAACCTACATTACTGGTTGCCTTTGTTAGAAAACCTTGGAACAGTCAAGCTCAGTTGCCTCAAATGCTGTCAGAGACTTTTTGTTGACAATACTTTTAGTAGAAATTTCATGTCTTAGACAAACAAATTCAACACCTAATTAATCTTTCTTTTTTCATGATTGTTGTTGCTGCTTTTTTTCAGTTTTTTGCTCTATTTTCATGACTATTTGCTGTAATTTGTTTTGCTGTTTTTATTCTTACAAAACATTTTTGTAAGAGTTCCAATACTTGTGGATCATCCACACACTTTGCAAACATTTGGCATGCAGACAAGACAGAGGTAGTCAATGTACCCTTTGAGGAAAAACACCTTTTATATGACGTCTTCAATTTACTTTATTTGAAACTCTGATCTGAAAATATTTGTCAACAAGACTTGTTAGTAGTGAGAAGTACCAACCAAGTTTCCTTTCATAACTTAATTTCTTAAATGTCCCAATCACTGGATCTCCCAAAAAAATATTACATCTTTTTATTTTTGGTGCAAATTACAAGTCCTTCTTTATATAAAAATGAAAAGTGCTAGTCATACTTCAATAATAACAGCTCTTAAGTTTACTTGTTGTTCTTTTCTGTCTGTCAGCTATCAACAAAATTGTTTTATACTTCGGGCAGTGCATAACTATTTGTGGACCAGAGTTCCAACGCACCTCTGTAATCGCATATAGCTACTCCTGTCTCTTGTACAAATGTTTCTCCTTTGTAAGACGCACTCTACTCTGTTGTCAATACTGCTTTAAGTTCAGTGGAAACGACTGACTGAGGAATCGAGATGGCGGTGTTGGAACGTGTTGCTGAACGCTTGCTACGGTCAAGCTTTGTAGATTTAGGTACTGGTACACTGGGATCATCTATGTATCTCTTACACTTCCGAATGTGGTATCCTTCTTTTATAAATATGAGGGTAAAAGACGATTTGTAGTCGCATTCAAAACTGTGATTGGCTTGTGTTATTTCTCACCTTTGCCATTAACACAACTCAAGTGAGTTTCGAGTCTTTGTTTCCTCGACAACTTTCGGCCACAAATCGTGCATTTGTAATACGATCGATTCTTGTCGATTATTTCTACATAGAGTGAGCTCACATCTTTATTTATATCACCAAGCTATCCATCTTCTAGAAGCAGAGAACCGGTCGGAGAAGTCAGAACAAAGTTGGGCGCTTCTCTTAACACTGCAATCTGCAAGCCAGCGGATTCACTTTGCTAGCCAATGACAAGTCCTAAAAGATCCACGTGAACATGCCCGTGATCGGAAACAAAGAAGACTCCATTTGGCGCTCATCTTTGAATGTACTTTTCATCGGTTGATCGCTTTTCTCAACTGTTTTGCTTAATATAACATTTCTAAAGATAGCTTTTATTGTGGTTCAATGGGAAAACGAGAATAGCGTGAGTGTTGTAAAAGAGAAGAAAGTCGTTGGCGCCGTGGAGTTAAAAGAAGGGACAACAGTTGACATATGGACCGGTACAAACAAGGGTCGAGTGGCCATCTGTAAAGCTACGATTTTGAAAGTTTGTGGTAAGTAAAAATTGCGATATTCGTTGTGATCAAAATCTTATAAAAGAATAGATGTAGCGGGTTTAATTAAGCTTACATAACGCTCGGCGCAGCTGAAACTAGAATAATTCTGAGAATCGAATCGGTCACTTGCATGCCGCAGTTTCTTAAGCTTATGCTTTACAATGAAATAAACCTATCAGTAAGGTTTCAAGATTCCTCTAGTCACGTTTGGGAACATTCAAGATTCACAACAAACCTTAGTATATAAAGAAGCCCTCCTTGGTAAAAACAAAATAATGTATTCAGCCCTTTTTAAGTAAAATCCATGAGAGAGATGTACTAACTCCATAACAGAGATTTCTCAATTTGAGAATCCAATGAATGCCCTTTTCCTCATAGCCATCTTAAAAGACTGGTCTGAGCTTTAAACATACATATTTTAATATATTATTTTTTTTCAAATTCAGATGTCAAGGAATCCAGATACAAAATGGTCAAGGTTCTTGTTGACAACCTCATTCAAGGCCAACTCATTGTGAGCCCAGGAAAAAAAATACAAACAGTACAAACAGCAGCTAAGTTTGCAGTTTAGGATAACTTCATTCTAATTTATTGTTACAGTTACAACAAGATTTTAATCAAAAAATCAATTTTATTTGTCTGTAATCAGCCCCTTCACTCCCAAGAATATAACTGTATAAATATAACTTAAGATATTGTATTTTATGGAAAAGAATCAACAGATTTTATTCACAATTTGTGTCAAACCAAATTTAATGATTGATTAGAACTATTTTATATGAATAGCTGTAATTGAGGATTAATCCGTATGAAGTTTTCAAGAAAAGAAAAATAAATCAAATTCCATCCTAATATTACCACACATTGATGTTAATAATTAATCAAAAATATTTTACATGTAAGCCTTAATTAAGCTTCTAAATAAATTTCATTGAATACTTGAATTTTAGCTGGGTTTTTTTAATTTTAAGTATTTATTTTATATCATTAGCCTCAAATTTTTGCTTAAAATTCCCAGTAATTCTTAAACATTCCTAAAAATTCCCAAAAATTCCCAGAAATTCCCAGAAATTCCCAGAAATTCCTAGGAATTTTTTAGATTTACAGCTTTTCAGGAAAAGTCATTGGTTCTCTGAGTTGGAATTCCTAGGAATTCCTAGGAATTCCAAGTCCTGTTGGCTATAAACTTGGAATTTCTGGGAATTTCTGGGAATTTCTGGGAATTTCTAGGAATTTCTAGGTTTTTAGAACCAGAGTTGTTATGGTTGGGAATTCCTAGGAATTCCTAGGAATTCCCAGTCCGAATTTACCGTGAAAATTCACACCTTTATTCCTAGGAATTCCTAGGAATAAATTCCTAGGAATTCCTAGGATTTTCCTAGGAATTCCTAGGAATTCCAAAAGCCATTTCGCAAGGGACATTCCCCTCACTTTCAGTCCCATATTCAAGTTTGAAGTGAGAAAGACAACAGCACTTATTTCCAGAAAAATAAAAAAGAAAATTTAAAATATAAACTTAAAAGAATTCCTCATACAATTTCAGAGGAAATAACTAAACAAGGCCTACTGTAATTTAAGACACGGAACATAACAAAAGGAAAGATCTGTAAATTTAGAAAGAGAGATTTTCAATTTGCAAAGCAAAAATCCGTGTAGAACTCCACTGTACGGAAGTATGAGAGGGTCTATTAGGAACTTCAAAGCCGTCGAAAAAAATCATCCACAACCGCAAAAAAAATTCGACCAGAACCGGAAACCGCATGCAAAACAGTCAAAACCGATAAATGTTCACATCCCAGTTCTCAAAACTCTAATCGATCCGCTACGGTGTTGACAAGTGGAGCATACAGAGGTTTCGCGGCTATTCGAGATCAGTGGAGGCGCAGAGGCGCATAATGGCCGCTTGGATCGAAGAGAAAACGGAATCCAAATAGGACAATCCAAAAACTTCATCGGAAACCAAATCCGTAACCCATTAGACAGGTATTTTTGACGAAAACCGAAAACCAAATGCTAAAGAACGGAAAATTTTGCAAACCGCAATGAATACCTAATCCGAAAAACCGAAATTCTTTTATTTTAGCACAAAACCCGATCTCAAAAAAAAATATAGAAAATCCCAATGCCCCCCTTAAGGATGAATCGGTCAGTTCAGTCTACAGATCATTCAAATGATAACAGAACGACCATTACTGTTACTGAAACCTCAACGATAACTTTTTTAATTATTATTTTTCGATCAGAAACATGCTGCAAACCAACTTTAGTCACGCGATATTTTTCAGGGAAGGTGTCATGTCACGCAATCGAATTATTTATCGACTACGAACATCGATACTTGACAACTTGTAAATTGGACAGCTGCAGCCTCACGGAATTTTAACGTGAATTATAGATTTGCATTTTATGGCTGAATGGTACAGTCCTTCTTTTAAATACAGAAGAGGATTTATATATTCGCGAACGTAGTGAAGATTCAGCCAAGAACACCACGGAGATTTTCATATTTTCAGTTCGTTTGGTTTGGTTTGGCAATTTACACTGAGCCCTAAAAAATTCCGGAGATATGGTCGATTCTAGTTTTACAATAGAGACCAAATGCATTGTGTGGCATCAGACCTTTGAACGACAGGCGCAAAGAACAGTGTTACAAGCGTTAATTCTTTGACTCAGTTGTATCCAATTCTGCGCATAAACTCCATCATCTGCTACTACTTAAGCAGATACAATTTAGAAACGAGTGTAATTTCAAGTTTGGGAAAATACGCACTAATCGTAACACGACCACATTTATTCCATTCAAGTCCAATCGGTAACACTTTTATACGTAGTTTTTTTTTTCTATAGAGTCATTTTATATTAAATGAAATTGTTTTTGAATGACAGCGTATAAAACTTCAGATAACTTTTTGCAAATTTCTGCGAATTTTGAGTATTTTTCAATAAACAAACAATATACCTCGAGGAGACAATAGCGAAACGAAATAACCAAATCACTGAACGAGCGTGCGCGAATCTAGGGCGCATTCATTAATGGAAATATCGACATCCACAACAGAGTACGTACCCTTGAGAAGTGTTCTCCGCGGATCTATTCGCCATTTTCAAAGCAATCTATTGGGGCAACTGCACGTGGTTCAACCTCCCTCGTCTGAAAGCTCCTTCCATTTGGTTCCGCGAATTCGAATTAGATTATGGTTATCTTATGACCTATTGTTTTTCTCGGAAAATTAGCGGAAGAGAAATAGTAGGAGTCTGGAAGCTAGCTAGGTTGGTGACCGCTGACTGAAGTACAGGAGATTATCAAAGATGGCGCGAAATGTCGGAGTGTGATGTGAACACATCACTATACTAAAATGGTTTGTTAGTCGTTTCGGTTCTCAGCGGCAGTCTTTTAACCGGTGTTTTAATTATAATTACATATATTTCTACAGGATATTCGATCGTTCTTCAGCCCTGCTTGGAAAGACAGCGAAGTAAGGCGTTTCGAAAGTAGAAAATAAGCGCGGCAAAGATTCTACTGCAAAGTCATTATCGAAGCAAGATGTAGGAAAGAGCCGAACGAAAAGCAAGGTAAGTAATGGATAATGTAGCATTTGAGAGAGAAAGATATTTATGTTATCAGGGAATTCGACTTCAGAGATGACGGAGAAAAGATCTGCTATATCACAGCCCCTGTCTGACTGAATCGATCATCATGCACTCAGGAGAGGGGTTTACGTGCAGTCTTCAGAGATAGTAAATCTACATATGAGCAATTACTTAAGAAGGCTAATTTAAAATTTCTTCATGAAAGAAGGCTACAGGATATAGCTTGTTTAATGTTTAAAGTGGGGCATAATCTGTGCCCACCGACTGTCAAAAATTTGTTTTCATTGAAAAGTTCCACTTACAACCTCAGAGGCGCAGATTTCCACATTCCTAGATTTAATACTGTTACCTATGGAAAACATTCCCTAAGATATATTGGCCCTTTGCTGTGGAATCGACTTTCAACTAACATAAAAACCTCACCTTCTCTACAATCTTTTAAAAAACAGATCTGTTTAACTAACCTTTGGTCTAAATTAGAATACGATTGTGAGAACTGTGTTCTATGTAGCACATGAACAATTATCTGGCTCAGGAACGCTCTATGTGTTTATTTGATTTAATAATGAGTATTAAATAAGGTAGTTTTAAACTTTTAGTTCTTAATGTCAATGACGTATTTAAATTTTATCTATTGTAAATAGTTAAATTAGTTGAATTTTAACTTATTGGAGTTTAGGTGTCCCCTATTAGTAGAGGGTTTCTTACCCTCGGCTAGATCGATTTGACACATGAATAAAGTTTTTCATTCATTCATTCATGTGTATCTATGTACTCTGCAATTCACATTCCCATCTATCTTCTCGGGGAGGAGGGCGGGGGAACACCTTATTTTGCCAAAGTTGGTACTTGTTGTCACACATGGTAAAATTTCCTTTGTCTTGAATCTTTTATTTAGCACATGGTAGATAATTTTACAACATGTTTTAACCAAGAGTTTCATTCATCTACATATATCTAACCCAAGGCATCTTTCTGGATTGGAATGTGAGAAATGGTGTGGTACTGTGTGTTAATTAACTTTGTTAGTATAATTTTCAATAGCCTGTCAGAGTATGTCAGGGTAGCTGAGTGAGGCTGATAAGTTACAGTGTTTTGCCTTTTTTCATTTTTATCCTAAACAGGATTGTAAAATGATGCAATTTTGTATTCATCCTTTAACTCCTAAGATCTGTTTGCTAATTCTCTCCTCTTGTTGGTACACATTCCCATGTACATTTGTGAGCCTGAAAGGCAGAACAGACTCTGACGGAAAATTGTTTGAACAGCGAAAACACACGGATGACAAACAGTTAGCAAACGGTCCTTAAGCATTTTGCCTAACTATTTGAATGGGTGAATAAATTATTTGAATGGTTTGGTCAGCCATTTGAACAGATGAGTAAAACAGATAATGTTGAACAGACTGCGGGCTATTTGAACGGATGAAAATATTATTAATTTGCACGACTGGTTGTGCGATTGATTCACTAATCATACTGATGAATACATTGCTTAAATGGTTTGTGTAGCCATTCAAACCGATGAGTAAAACAGATAATGTCGAATGGACTGGCAAGCCATTCGAACAGATGAAAATGTTATTAATCTGTATGATTGGTTGTACGATTGGTTTACCAATCGTACAGATGACTAAATTGCTTAAACAGTTTGCAAAACCATTCCTAGCGCATGGCTTGATCAGAGAATGGGCAATGTTGTTGTGTATTTTTTTTCATTTCATTTGTTGTTGTAGTCAATTTCAAGGCCTTTATTCTCACGATCAAAAATGGAGACTGTTTCAATTTGTCATTGAAATAACGTTTATAGTTATTGTCTTGAACTACTGAATATCTCATGAAAGGTGTTTGTCATCATGGTTAATTGTTTGTCTTACAACTTAGTCACAGAGATGTGGATTGTAACGTTTCGACCGCTATACTGAATATCTGTAGAGAAATGATGAGTTCAATTTTCTCCTTTCGAATGGATGAACAGAACAGACATCAAACTGTTTGAATGGATGCCGCAGTTCTCCGAATGGACACTTCTAGTTGTCGAACGGATGCTAAAACCATTTGAATGGATGCCAAAACCATTTAAAGGGATGCTGCAGTTCTCCGAACGCACACTTCTAGTTGGCGAACAGATGCAAAAACCGTTTAAACAGATGTCGACACCATTCGAACGGATGTCACAATACTTGAACGGATGTTAATGTATTTTGAACTTATATGCAAACTGTTCAACAGTTTGTTGAACACTTTGAACAGATTTTTTTAGGTGTTTGAATGGATGATGAACAAATAACGAATGGTTTACCTATTCAAACTGATAACCATTAGTGTCTGTTTTGCCTTACACAGTCACATTTGTTATAGGAATTTGTTGTTAGATCAAGATAACAACTTTTTCATTACTCTTTTGTTGGAAATTGTATGGATATTCTTGGGAGAAGTTACATGTTAATACGTCTGAGAGTTTGAAGATTAAACAGTGTGTTGTGATACACTGCCACCTAAATTTCACTTAAGTTTGAAATATCTTGGACATTAACATTCCCTACAAATTTGTTCAAACTGAAGCTTACTAACTCTGCAGAGCAGTTGCAGTATGCAATACTAATGCCTATTTCATGATTTGTGACCCTCCATGGGAAAACGGACACTAACGCTTTTCCGTTAAACGGTCTAGAAAAAACGGTTTTAAACGGATACTAAACGGCTAGCTCAAGCGTTTAAACGGTTTCCATAACCGCTTAAACGGATGGTAAAAATTGTAAACAGTTGACCAAAGTCCAAAAACGGATAGCTTAGGCCCTCAAACGGTTGACCAAAAATAAAAACGGATAGCACGAAACGTTGAACGGTTTACCAAAGTCCAAAAACGGATAGCTAACACTGTTAAACGGTTGACCAAAATTTAAAACGGTTGGCTCGAAACGTTTAACGGTTGACCAAAGTCCAAAAACGGATAGCGTAAACCGAGAAACGTACGGTTGACCAGAATCGACAATCAGAGAGCTAAAAATTAATGTAAACGGTTGTGGTTGAGCCGGTAAGATCTTCTGCGGAAAAACTTTCCGAGCGACAATGGATAATTATCTTGAAGCGAAAACATTAAGCAAAATAATTTGAAGAACTATAACTAGGATTATTACACTAGCGCATTTTATTTCTGGGTAAACTATTACCGTTTTCGTGTGAAATTAAAGAAATAAGCGCAATTTACTGAGAATAGCTTCGCTGTCAAGTACCCTAAACGGCTATTGCGAGAAACTCACAATCTCCTCCTTTGTTTATTCTCATTATTATTGAAAGTAAACTTCATGTGTTTCACGAAACAAGTCTGCAGACGCATTGCCGCGACCTTGTCTGAAGCCGAGACGCTTCAGGGTCAAATCACGCAATGTATAAGTTCTTTAGCAAATAAAAGGTCGAATCGGTGTCACGCACTAAGCGCGGCCGTTGAAATAATTGTCAGTAAAATCAGGAAAAATGAATTAAGATGATATAAACAGATAGAGAGTAGCCAATTTAGCGAAACCATGGCACGGGAACCAAGATAGGGTTATCTCGATTTCACCAATCTGTAAACAAGATCTGAGGCGCACTGTTTACACAAGATCGATGGCAAGATCATGGTCAAGTGAAAGGCTTCATTGGCTGTCGATGCTCTACGTTTGTACGAACGGATATTTTAACTTAACTCGTTTATCCAAGGATGCGACGATTACTCGCTTTCTATGATCACGAAAAAGATAAAGCCAAAATAAGGTACGGTCATTCTGCATTTCAAGAACCGGCGGGTATCGAGCGAACGTAAGATTGATACTTTGAACAGCCCGTAACAGAATGATAAACAAACAGTTGAAAGTTTTCCTTCGAACGTTAAACGGAAATAATTTGTTTACAACGGATCAAGAAACCGTTTAAACGTTTTGGTTACAGCGTCAAACGGATGCAAATTTTTTTCAACGGATGAGCAAACCGCTTAAACGTTTTACCATAAGCGTTAAACGGATGCAAATTTTTTTAAACGGATAAGCAAACCGCTTAAACGTTTTAGCTAAAGCGTTAAACGGATGCAAATTTTTTTAAACGGATGAGCAAACCATTTAAACGCTTTCATGAACCGTTTAAAAGGATTTAAACGGATAGTAAACGGATTGTTATTCTTGCTTCAGTCCAGTCAAACCTAAAGAGAAAAAAGCAACTTCTGCACTTGATTTCTTTGGTTCTACTTCAGTTGAAAGGGAATCCAGGAAAACATTTGCCAAAAGAGAAAACAGGTGAATAACTTACTATTCTTGTTTTGCCCACAATTTTTTTTAAAGAAAAAAAAACAGGCATCCTGAGTATTTTTGACAGTACTGCATGCATCATGCATTGAACAGGGAAAACTTTAAACCTCACCATACCTTGCCTTTCTGTAAAATTCATGCATCACGTATTAATTTTTGGGCTTAATCAAGCATTCCTTGTAGGTAGATGCTCTGCCAATCTGTTATAGTTGTGTCAGGATGAACTACAGTGAACACATACCATGTCACAAAATTAATGGGTAGTGACCAATTGAGGAATAGTTTTGGCAAAAACGACACTATGGACCCCCTTAAAGGGATAAGTCCTTTGGCGTCTAAGATATTTAATAACACAGCCACATGTGCCTGATGAGTTTTAGTATTCTCATGACTGGATAATGTATGGATATTCTCGGGAGAAGTTACATGTTAATTTCTCTGGTAGTTAAATTATTATCTCTCAAAGCTCTTTATGGTTTGTTTTCCATCCTTTCAAATTTTAATGAGAGATGCAAGACAAAGGAAAATGAAGATTATTAGAATTAAGGCTTATTTGGAAAATCTGCAGATACAGTTTATTGAAAAAATGCTTTGATTAACCCTTTTACTTCCGAGATCTCAGTAGTAATTCTCCTTGATGTCTGTTATACAAGTCTTGTAATGTTAGTTTGGAGAATTTGGTCTTGGATCAACTAATAGTCCCCTCACCGATTTATTCTCATCACTTGTCTGCATGATATTGTATTGATATTGTAAGGAGAAGTTCTGTCTTGGTCACTCATGGGAGTTAAAGGGTTAAACAAAAAAATGTATTTTATCCTTTTACTCTCAGTTTTTGTTGAAATGTTGGTTCAATGTCAGTATCTGAGAAACTGCCTACCTACCCCTCCCCTAAGCCAACATTAACCCTTACTTGCTATCAGTTGATGGTTTTTTGGGTTAGGGGAGGGGTAGGTGCACACATGCTTATATTGATCCCAAATGTTTATAGTGTAGCTACAGAGTTTTTTACTTTTTGCCATTTATAACTTTTCAGTTTGGAAAGTGTTAAGAGGCCTTCAAGGGAAGAATTAATTATTTGTCTGCTCATCTTGAATCATGCATGCACATGATAATTTATTTTTTAGGGAGCATAAAACTGTTTGGATGGACTGACATTATTTTGTTATTACAGGAGTCTTGGAAAGTATTGAGAGAGAGGAAGCTGCTGATTTGATAAAAAGATATGGTGGAAAAGTTACCCAATCAGTGAACAAAACAATTTATTTCATGGGATGGGATCCTGGAGGGAGTAAACTTTCTAAGGTACTGTTCATTGTAATGCACAGCTCAAAACAGGAAAAAAAATGAAAGAGCACTTGAACACCAACACATAAGCTGCACCTTTTTCCCTAAATTTTCATAACAAATCTGGGGTGTGGCTTACTGAGAAAATACCAGGGAAACTTGCCACAAATTTGCATAAATAAACACAATTCATTGATGATGACAATGAGATTTCATAGGAGCCATAGACTATAATATAATTTGTTCATCTTCATTTCCTTTCTTTCATCTATGGGTTTGTCCATTTTTCCATCCTGTCATTTGTCTAGCAGTCTGTCTGTCTGTCTGTCTAAAGGGAGTAAGTTTTTGAATAAACTGTGGTGCTGCATCATTGGGGAGATTAACAAGATAATGTGGTTTTATCAACTGAGTTGAGAATTTAGATTGGCCTTCCTAAATAGTTTCTAAAGCTAATGTTTCAAGCACTAGCCATCTGCTCTGACGAAGGGCTAAAGCTTGCAATGTCAGCGTTAGAAACTCTTTTTGCTGGCAAATTTACAGTATCACTCAGTTTGTCTGTCTGTCTGCTCTTTTGTGTGTGTACATTCATCCAATTACTGTCTTTCTATCTGTCACTCACTCTGCTCTTTCCCTCTGTCCATTCACCCACACCTCAGTTTTACCCTAAATTCCACCTTTGAGTTCATCTGTTGGTTCATGTATCTGTTCTTCTACCTGTAGACTTGTTTGTGTAGTTTTTGTTTAATCCTTTACACCCTAACATCAGTATGCATATTCTCCATACTGTTCTCTATGCATTTCCTAATGTGCTGGCAAGGAGAATTTGTTGAACAATCAAGAGGTTCATCAGTTGATGATCATTTGCTGTATTCTCATGACCTTAATGTTTGATTCAGGGCTGATATTGAAAGGAGAAATTAGATGTTAGTCAGTCTCAGGGATTACAGGGTTCATCTACATAAGATTTTGACAGTAAAGGTCATTTTGTTTTTGTGCAGGAGAACCAAGTGTGTTATTGGTAGACAAATGTCGGCCTCGCGCAGTGAAGCAGATTATTGGTCAGCAGGGTGATAAGAGCAACATGAGAAAACTGATGAACTGGCTGAGAGACTGGGGAAAAGATTGAAAGAACTCAGCCTCTAAATGTGAGTACAAGTGTAATTGATTGTCAAAATTCTTTTCCCTCACGAGTGATTTTAAAAAACGGACGATCGCGAAGCGGGAGTCCGATTTGTTATTTATTAGTTAATCTACTCTTAATCAAAACTATAACAAAATTTGAGCACGAATGGGACAGTGTACGTGTCATGCTTGTAATTGGACAGTGTAATAGGACAGTTAAAGGGACAGTTAACACGTCATACCTTTGTTAGTGGACAGAACGCGCCATGACCGCACGCTGTTGTATCGCATTTCGCCGAGTTAACTGTTGAAATTTTTATGAAAACGTACGACCGATGTCTAGTTTCTTTCTCAAATTTTGAGAAAGTTCACTGCTCATAGCTTCTTTCTCATAGCTTTTGATTAATTGTTAACAGGACTTCGTGTCATCAAATTCTGTCTGTAATCATACTGGGGATTAACAAATCGGACTCCCGCTTCGCGGTCGTCCGATATTGTTAATCACTCTTATGATTACAGACCGAATTGGACTCCACTCCGTCCTATTACCATTATTAATCAAACAGAATTGGACGACACGAAGTTCTTTTACCAATTGTAAAAACAACAATTAAATGAGAGACAACAGCGCGCGCTCATGACGCGTTCTGTCCACTAACAAAGGCATGACGTGTTAACTGTCCCTTTAACTGTCCTATTACACTGTCCAATTACAAACATGTCGCGTACACTGTCCCATTAGTGCTCAAATCGGGCTGGTGATAACCAATCGCGTTCGAGAATTATGTTATAGTTTAGATTAGGGTTGTAATCGGATATGGGAGAGTGGAACCTTGTCTAGAGGGGAGTAAGCAATTCTCCTAGTCACCTGATGCTACTGAAATTAACATAAGCATAGGCAAGGTAAGACCTGTGGCTCTTGTGCTGACTTTACCTCTAACCCTTTATCTCACATGAGTAACCAAGACAGGATTTCTCCTTACAATATCAATACAATATCAATCAGACAAGTTGTGAGAATATTTGTTTGGGATATTTTTTCGATTGGGCAAACCAAAAAATTCACTACCATTTGTATTCCAACAGACTGAAATTTCCCAATTTTCGAGAATTCCACGTTAATCAGTCGAACAAAGAGAAAAGAGAGGAAGGACGCGCTCAAGCTCTGAGAGATCTCATGGCCACAAAATATCAGCCTGGAGATTCTTCAACACGCAGCGTGCGTTTCTCTGAGTTGTGTTCCATTGAGCACAGTTTTCATAGTTATTGATGGACCATCCGTTTACTTCTGGGTTTGCCTCAGTGAAGTGTAAGAGAGAAATTGAAAAGTTCAAGGAGGTGATTTACTGGGCACCATTTGTACTAATTGGTGACGACGTCAGCCTGGATTTCAAGGATATTTAGAAGCTGAAGCAAATAAATATTCTGTGTATACCTTGTATTCAATACAAAGTTGCCTTAATTCATAATTATAGCTTATGTATGAGCACTGATACTTGCGTATTATTTTTTATCTTTCAGTTAAGGCAGTGAGCATTGGAATAACAAAGAGAAGAAAATTTCTGCATCAACCTGCATAAACCATTTCTTGTCGTTTGAAGTAGTGAGCGCGCCTATGTCTTGTTCGCTTGATAATATTTGTCCATTTCTTTCAATAGGTTTATTGAATGAGAGATAAACTTCGATATTTTCTGACTCTGTAACTGCTAATATTGATCGTTGGAAGCCATTACTTAGGATGTCACGCGACGCATTTCTTTAGCACGTTATGTGACAGATAGGATGTTTTGTCACATCTTGTCGTTTGAAGAAGTGAGCGCACCTATGTCTCATTCGCTCAGCCTTTTGCCATTTCCTTGGATAAAGTTATCAAATGAGATATAAACTTCGATATTTTCAGATTTTATAACTGCAGCCGTTCCTTAGGATGTCGCGCGACGCGCTTCTTTAGCATGTAAAGCGACATGATATTTTGTCATATATCGTTGAAGAGGCAAGAAAAAGGAAATTACCTTTGGCTTTGGAAGATGGTGCTTTATTCTGTTTATAGAGAGCGTCCTCATCATGGGTGGTGCCCTAGGTCGGTGTGGTTTCTCGAGTGTAGGAAATATTGATGAGCGTTGTCCCAGATCACTGGGCATTCCTGTTATGTTCAGTCTGTAAGTCCTGATATTTTGACTTCACCCCAGATTTAAGAAACTGCGTCGACGTAAATGTTTCAGCAGAACATGTCTACTGACGATAGCATATATTATAATCATTTTCAGAAAAGAGCCATGGGGGAGGTTCCGTTTATCCCCTTTGGGTTGGGAATGTAAATGGGTACGTGGTTTCAAGGGTAGCACCACAAGACGGATTCTCAAGAATCTCAGAGATACAGTTTCAGAAGGTTATGATAAGAATTTCCTTGAGAAATTGCTGGACTTAGGCTTCATTCGTCTGCTTAGATTTTCTCTTCGTGCTTCATAATTCTACTCCATCTACCCACTTTATGGCGGTTTTTACTATATGCCACACAGGTGAATAGAACTTTTCGCGTGGGTTGATTGGCTAATTCGGAATAAATAGTCGAACCTGTGTTTGGTGGTCGGTTGTCAAATTCCCGAATTTCTTTCCGGGATCCCCGCGCGGATAAAAACGAGCACACAAAATTGTATGAAATCCGGTTTCGCCGGTAGTCCCACCAATCCAATATTCCACTTCCACCTCACTTTCCACTTCCGCTAATTTTTTTTCCGAGAAAGATCAGAGGTCTTCACGATGTTGGAGCTCGCTAACTGTACCAAGCTGTCAGAAAGTTCAAAGGGGACTACAGAAAACTGACTGCCAATGAGAGGGAAAGGGGGAGGATAATTAAAACACTGAGGATCCTCATGGGGAAGGAGGAGGGGGAGGCGCTATGGTTAATTTCACATTGATGTCATGACAAACCAATGGAAAGCGCTTTAAACTCACCCAATCTCATAATGTTTTTGAAAAGAAGGACACAAGAGTCCAACGAAATTTCAAACCATATTATTTTCCTTTTTTTTTTTTTTGAGAAAGAAACTGCACATCGGTCATACGTTTTCATAAAAAATAACAATTAACTCTACGAAATGAGAGACAACAGCGCGCGCACATGACGCGTTCTGTCCACTTACTCAGGGATGACTGTCCTATTACACTGTCCAGTTACAAGCGTACACTTTCCTATTAGTGCTCAAATCGGGCTCGTGATACGACAAGAAGTTCTGATACCAATTAATCATTACCGTTACAATTTCCGAAAACAACGCATACATTTGGGTCACAGATCTCCGGTGGAGACAATGCCTAAACTAAGAAAAAATTCTTAATTTTGGAAATTCCTCAGTTCTTTTAGGATAAGTGATTGTTTCTATTGTTATTTCGATTTATTCTGTGATTGGTGGATTTGGCTGAGTGGACTTAGTATGATTGGCTGCTTCAACTGTTCGATCACAGCCAACTGTCCAAATACAGCCGATTACAGCTAAGGCACCGATCAGATTTGAGGAAACTGTAATAGCCATGATTAAGGTAAGTACAAAGCAATGATGCCTTTTTGATAGCCATCGTTGCGCCTTCGAAAACTCTCCTGCAGGCGAAGAAACGCTCGTCCCGCAGTCTAATTGGAGTCTTTAGAAATGCAGGGGATATGACGATATAGCCTTGGCTATATATATATTTCTATTCTGTTAATAATATCACTGTTGCAGTAAATATTTTGAACCCAGGAGTAAAATGTTTTCGTGTCGTGTAGTCTAACCGGCTAAGTGAGAAATGTATGGATAACAGCGAAAGACGTTTTGACAGCCAAAAAGAGAGTCATTATCAGATTCAATAACGATGACTTCTACTCAGATTATTCAAACGTGAGCAACTGTCAGCCTCAATTACAAGTGTCCTTTACATGACAACCCTCGAGCCTCGACCAATACCTCTTTCACTACATCGTGTCACATATATGCGATTTTTGTGTGGAACGAGGTCATCTGGTGTGGCCTTCTTCGTGCGATTATTCGATTCACAAACGTCTTCATTAATGATGTAATTTACACTTTGGCATATGGCACCATTATTGCACGCCATCACACACTCTGTCAAGCTTTCTGCCCTGGTTTTCTTGAATGTGTGTCCGTGGAGCATCATCCTATGAATGGAACGTTCGGATCAACAAGACACAGAAGAATTCATAAGGGGCAGCTGGTATATGAAGAGGAATGCAATAATATGATCCCATCGCACAAGGTACATTTTTCCAACAAAAAACTCAGCTGATGTGGAGCTCAGCCCGAAATTAATAAAAAGAGGTGGATGTATTGGTAAGCAGGCGGTCTGAACATTGCACACCGCCTGAGAATTGGACCAGAAACATTTACTGCCTCGTGACGTTCGAAATCAAACTTCACTGGACATGAGTTTCTTTCAATGAAAGCAAGAGACACTGCTTCATAAAAAATTAGCCAAACTGATCCGTGTCCGCAGCAAATAAACCATGCATGAAGAAATATCTCATATTCCTAATTTCGATATAGCAAAATCTGATTCCGTTGGAATGTGGATCCAATCAAAATCTACCGTCAGCCACCACCAAATATAGCGTTTGCGTTATATTAAGTAACGAAAATTAGAGTAAAACTTAATTTCTGAGGTATCTCGCTGAGAAATAAGTAAAAAAATGTATATCCCGATTGCCAGTGCAAATTGGTAGGGTGCCATGTTGAGACAGTTAAGTAGCCTGGTTTTGGTTACTCATAATTAAAAGTACGTACACCGTAAGAATTTATTGTTGCTTATTAGTCTATCGATGAATGAAGCAACGTCCTTGAACGGAAATTGTCACCAGGAGAGTCTGCGCGTTTATTTTTGATGGGTTTCGTATCAGCGACTCCGGTGGATCACGTTCCGTATGAATACAAGACACTTATAAAACTCAAATCAAAATAGATCAAACTAGGTCTGCTTTCATTTTAAATATGACTTATTCTTTCCTTCCTCTGCTCAATTTGTGAGTTATGAAAAATTAATCAGACGAAAAGGGAATAAACACCGACTACTTAACGTTCAGGAAAGCCTTTCAAGCGGCCATGTTGCTAAAATTAAAGATTTCTTATATATTTGATTGGTATTATCAGAAACTTTGGGGTTTTACCGGGCGAAGCGCTGACAATTTGGAAAGGCTTTCTGCGTAATTCGAATGATTTTTTTGCGTCTACTACAAGGCTCTCTTTATTTCTATTCTTACATTATTTAAAAGTTAATTTTGCAAAGTTTTATAGAGAGACAGGTTACAAGGATTTAAAACTTTTCTAAGACAATTTTTGTATTTTGGTCTTGCTAGTATTGATTCATTTCTTAATACTTCATTTGTTTTTGTATTTCTATTTTGATAGTTACATAAATCCCCCCAAAAAAATGAAAAGGTGAAATTCACGGTTAGCCAGTGGCTTATCTTCTTGCTTCGATGAATCTTGGGGAACTCGTTCCATACGAGGTTAGATAGTAAACAGTGAGGATGCACTTCTCGGGTCTTATAAGCGATATTAATTTTTAATGCGTAATCTGAACTACTCCGTACGGGCTCATTAAAGTATACCTCTGTACATTGTAAATAAAGTTACACATTACATTGTTAGGAATTTCATCATTACATTTTCAAGAAAACTTAGGATACCTCTCTATAATGCAGCTGCCATGCTTCATTCTCCATCACAAGTAAAACCTCTAAAAGGGATCTAAAACCTCTTTTTGTTCTCGCTTCAGCTACCTTAAATGACTGGAAATTCAGAGCTGCGATTTGTTAATCACAAGTATGATAACAGACAGACATGGACGACACGAAGTCCTGTTATCAATTAATCGTAGCCTTTACAATTTCCGAAAAAACAATCCGTCCATCCTGGAAACTCCCAGTTTTCCTTCAAATGAGTAATATTTGGTTATTGTGATCAATTCTGTGATTGATGGATTTAGCTGAGTAGATTTGGTATGATTGACTACTTCATACTGTCCGATTACATCTCTCCAAAAAAATTAGTGAAAATTAAAGCAGTTAGCGCACCAATCACATTTGAAGAAATTTTAATGGTTGATTAAATAATTTTCATTAATGATTCTATACAGTGATTTCACAGTAATGTTATCGTAACCTGACCAGGTCCATCAGATTGGTAACAACACTCATTTTTCTGTTCCTTTCCTGAGTTGAAAGAGCCACCCCCTCCTCCACATGAATCTTTGTTGATCTCTCCGCCACCTCCGCCAGAATACCCACCACCACCCCCTCCTCCGTAAGCTCCTCCTCCTCCCCCAAATCCACCGTCGGCTTTTAACGCATTGCCTTTGCCCCCCACTCCTCCCTGAAGAAATCCTCTGCCACCATCTGCGTTCTCATCCGTTCCGTTGGAAAAAAAGCCTCCACCGCTGCCGCCTAAAAGAATAAAAAGGGGATTCAACTTAAACAGACAAAAAGAAAAAATGATAGAAAAAAAGATATTAACAAATCGCTAAATAAATGAAATGAAACCATTTATACCAAAAAGGTTCTTTTTAACGATAATAACTGATATAACCTTATTTAAACGAATCGTTTGGTGGGAGAAAATTCCTCCCTGAATTTTACAATACGGATGTCAATTTCCATAAGCAAGAATCGAATTTTTTTATTCATTCTGGTTGTGGTGTTCCCATAGCCTACGAGCAAGCTTTCATAAATGCTGCTGCTGAGACAAGTACACCTCTGGCTTTCCAGAAAGTTTTCCGAAAGTCGAGGTGTGGGTGGGGCGAGGTGTCGAGAAGTCTGCAGGTTTTCTCCAGCGGACCTCTTTCTCGCCTGTTTCGCTCTCCAGCTCGCGAGGCCCCCGGAAATTCCCTCACCTGCGTAGCTGGCATTGCCACTCTGCCCGCCAAGGCCACCGATTCCGCCTGACCCTGCTGACCTGTACCCAGGATTTCCAGTTGTGTTTGTACTAGCGTCACACCCTGCATGCCGTTTTATCAAGTAACACAGACCTCCTCCACCTCCAGCTATTATCAAAGGCGTGTTGTTTTGTCTGACAACGAATGTACCTCCACCACCGCCAGAACTCCAGTCATTATCTTTAGAGCCCCCTTCCTGTCCCACAAGGATACGAATGATCTCATCTTTAATCAGACTGAACGTTCCGATCATTCTCGCTCCTCTTCCTCGATACTGAGCGCTGTTAGGGTGTAAATCGTACCCTCCTGCTGCTCCGGTTGCTTCTATTCTGTAGTCACCAGTGTGAGGCACAGTCCACTGTTGAATACCGCTGGACAATGTAACTTGTCTGTCATGATCCTGACCTGTGTAGTGACTGCCCAGCGTTGTTGGGCCATATCTTCCGGTGGCACCGAGATTTGAGAAGATCGCAGAGAATGCTGAAAATTAAATCATAATAATAATAATTGTAATTATGATAATAATAAAAATAATAGTAAAAACCATTAAATTATTAATGCCGAACTTGATGTGCTTGTTAATTCGTAGACCGTTAAGAAAACATTCGATGCTCCGTTAAGGTTGTCGACATGTAATTCATCTCTCACCTAGATAACTAGATGACACAATCACTAGCTTGAAGGATGTTACAAGAGGTAAGCACAATATAGTCTCTAAGTGCTCCTTACATATCTAGGCTTTTAACGTTGAATCGTCTTTCCTGAGGGGTACTGATTCTGTTATGAATGCCCTCTTAACATGCATTTGTCCTAAAAATCGACAATTGAGGCGAAATAAATCATTAGTCATGAACCCTAAAGGTATCATGAACCTTCGTGTTTACCAAAACCATGAGAATATGACATTCTTCAGACCCAAGCCTTACCCTAACTTTGCACTCGTCAATGATGAAAAAATGAAAATGTAGAAAAAAGTTATGGATCATTAATCAGTGGGCGAAAAAAAAAACGGGAGCCATGGATTTCATGTTAAAATGACTACACTTCCAAACCTTAACTACAGATAATTGTTACAATGTTGCTTACAATTCTCGCAGTTTTCACCTATGGCTTTAGGTGGACACAGGCAAATGTATCTCTTGTCTGTGAATCCATTGAGACATGTTGCACCGTTGGCACAGGGGTTGCTGGAACACGGATTCTAGTGAGAAAACCAAAAGGAGCATTCTCAGTCTCCAATTTGAACACTAAAGGCCGCTTATTTACACCAGGTCTAAACCAAACCGCAGTTATACGCAAGCAGAGGACCTCAAGGATTCTCTATCAGAGGGTTGATTGAATGAAATAAATAAATGTTCTTCCACTATCAGCTTTCGGCCCTCTTGGCGTTTTTCACAAAAATAAAAGTTCAGATAAAAGATTCGACTAAATTGAAGATGGCTTAAAACGCGGTTTCGCTAAAACAACGACTTCTAAACTTTGTTAAAATAGCCGACCATATGCGTTCGATTCTCTCGCTATTTTTGTCTTCGATCTCTTTTCATCTATTTGCATGGTAACTATTATTTCACCTGGGTAGCCCAGTAAAGGAATCCTTCCTGTGCCGTAAGATGTTCGGGATGTTGAATATGGTCAGAATCACTCAATTGACAGACCCTGAGTCCATTCTTGTCGGGTGGCCCGACATTCACAGACACACAATTACTTTCCATCAGGCACTCGTATCTACAATCACCACTGAGTTCATTTCCCATTTTGAGCGTTATATTACGAAGTAAGTGACCTTGGAGAGCGAATCCATTGTCTGGTTGTCCAAACCGTAGACTTCGACACCCGAGTCCTGCAGATAGGGGTACATGGGGGAAAAAAGCAGAAAAAGTAAAACAACAACAACAAAAAAAAGTAAATAAGTAACTCTTTAAATGATGTAGAAGTTAGGTAATGAAATAGTAAAGGAATCAACACTTACAATTATAAATTTAAAAAAATGAGAAAAACAAAATACTTTTAACTGACCACCAGATTACAGCATTTTTTTGGTAAAATTTATTATAAGTTAATCTCAGCGAGAAGATAATTATTAAAAAAAGAGGCTAACATAAATAAAGATTGTGTTATTTATTCTAACTTGAGGCTCAGAGAGATCTTTCACCGAAGAGAGATACGCAATGAGCTGTAGTAAGTTCAAGTAAACGTTAATTTTGTGTTATCAACTTAGCTGATATGTAAATTGACCTCAATAAAGAGGTAACGTTACGAGCGTTAGTCCCTCATCTTCAGCCGTGACAAAGTGAGTGATATCCCTTATCGCATCAGGAAAAAAGAAACCTATCTCTCTGCGATCCAACAATCTTGCTTTTTGAGAGGTGCCTCGTACGAGTTGCAAGACCTTTGCTGATCAAGCTTTTGCCTCTGCTGGTCCACCTCAGAGGAAAAAGCTTTCACAAGAGAATATCGATCAGTTGATATTCGCTCGGCTTCCAATGTTGATTAGAACGGCTCCGAACTTGGTTACTTTTCAGAAACAGTTTAAGACATGCTTATTCAAAAAAAACCTGACATTCGGTCCCATCATATTCTGTAGGTCCTATTTTATATTTTGAAGTTTGATATCCTAACTTTCACTTTGTTTTAAACGGTAAAGTGCTGTCGAATATTTTATCATAAAAGTGATAGACAAATTCACTGTTATCATTGTAAACCAAATTATCATATAAAACCTCCCACTAACTCAGCACCACAGTTCCTTTCGAAAATTACCCCCCCCTTTTTTTTTTTCAAATAAACTCTGTTTGACCAGATTTCTTAAGTGCACATAGATGCGTAAAAGGTTTTTACAAAGGTTGCCTTCTTTGGACCAAATTGACTCAACAGATGTAAACATCATGGAGGAGTCAATATTCACTGAATAATGTATTCCTTTGTAGAATTCTCTCTGAAATCCACCGATATCAGTTGACCAAGAAAATGTATTGAGTGAATACGTATTGTATGTAGTTGCAATATTTCGATGGAGTGGCCCAGTTCTACTCATAGCTGGTTTAAAACACTGACAAGGCCAGACCACAACATAGTTAGTTATGTTTCCCACTCTCTGCGAGAAGTGCGTGGGTTCTTTAACGTCGTCTACTAACCAGTGCAGAGAGAATGGTGGAGAAGGTACAGAATAGAATGTCTAACCATTTGCGAATGCTATGGCAGAGGCAACACATTCTCCCCAGTTATTTTAGTACTCTGAGTGTTTGTCCGTTCTAGGGCTTGAAGATGTACACTCGAACTCACGCACGGCAGTCCGGCGCTCTACAACTTGAGCTAATCAAGCACGGGCGCAATTTTATTAGTATCTGATAGAGTGTTTTATGATATTCTTAAAATAGGTGCGTTCTTCGGTGGAGCATCTTTTGTGGATCTGAAAAAATGCGTGTTTTTTTGGGTTTTTTTGGTTGTTGTTGTTTTTTTACTTACCGCGATTTTTGGCTTCTACGGATATACATATCCAAGTACCAAATAAAAGGACAAATCCAAACAACAAAGGCAAAGCTGTAAAATACGCGTTCATGACTACTTTTGGGCGTAATTTCCCGAGGTGAAAAAATGGTCGATATAAGCAGAAATATACTTATCACCAACTGATTAGCAATTGGATCCTTGCAAAAAACGGCCACACGCAACTTATCAAATATTTATGTAATTCAAGCAAACTTTCTGTTACTCACGCTTTTTTGAAGAACACACAACCATTTTTTTAATAGTACGTAGGTGATGCTATAAAACATGGGTACCTCTTCTGTGTACTTGATCTGTAGCTGTAAAAGTTTAATTACACGGTTCAACACTGCTTAGAGCTATCGTGTGTTTTGTGTTCTGTGTCCCTTATGTGTATGCATAATGGACAGGTTTTTTTTTTTTAAGTAAACACAGGAAATGAAAAAATGAGTCGTGACATGATACGAGCAACTTCGCTTCGTTGAGTACAAATAATGGGCGAATCCAGTTAAAATATCAAGCGATCTTTAGACATTTGATTACTTTGCGCTGCGAAAAAAAAACTGTTCGAAGTTGTATCAAAGAAGAAATGAAAATGGATTAAAAATCGCTCTTGGTTAACAGCCATCTTCTCACCAAGTATCAGCAGCAGACTACTACGCCGGAGCATTGTCGACATGTGATTGGGGTGGATGATGAAAAAAGAACTGTAGTTTTGAAGTTCTGATTAAGCACCTTTGTCAAATACCTAAAGCTCATTCATGTCTTTGAGAGTTTGTCTTTAAGCATACTGTTTTTTATAATAAATTTTTCAATAAATTAATTATTCAAACAGTTGTCATTGATAATATGTCACTTTGTATCTCAACATTGAATCGTTGTAAAACCCTATTTGACAGGTTGACGTCTCATTTGCATGCACGATATGAGCGTAACACAAGACCTGACAAAAAACCGCTTTTTGTTTCTATTTTTATTTTTTTTCGTCGTTGCCTTATAGGAAATGGTCATAAAATTAATCAGCTGGATAAAAGTAACTTAGTGGACGGATTGGTGTGTGATATCGCTGTGTATATCTACTTGTTATTTTTATTTTGACTCGCCCTGCGGGGTTGTAAATATACGGCACAATTTGTAAAAATACTTTGCAATGTTACACACAAAATGTCTTATAGGTTATGTTTATCAACCATAAATTAAGGAACAACAGCGAAAACATCATCGACAAAACTGGTCGTCAAGTTATAATGCATGTAATTACTAACTGAGGTCGGTCGGGCCGGAAGGAAAATAATTGGCTCTTAATTAGTCATAATAAAAGGAACTAAGTCAAACCACGATTGGGACGATAACGAGGAAGTGACAAAACAAAATATCTAATGGGCAGAAAAATGCCTCAGCGCGTGTGTTTTAAAACTTTACATGTCTCTTAGCCGTCCTGTGCAAAACAACATGTTGAAATCATCAAAAATTTGCATGGTCTGAGAACTTTAACCCCGACGTTAAATGATTCATGTTTACCATGTTTAACTCATGGCTGCTCCCACACGTTTGACCGAATTGAGGTGGGCGCCTCAAGAGACGGTAAACACGTCCAGCCATTTGCAAACTTATAAAGGAAGATGAAAATTCCAATCGATGTCTTCCTTGGCGTTGCCTCCCTGTTATTCTTTTTTTTAATAAGGCATCAGGATTACACGTTCTGAGGTTAAAGTTTACCTTCGCATGTTATTAAAAAGGGCAGCAGCCGAAGGGCTCGAGTAAAGGAAATTTTTATTCAAACATGTGATCAAACATATGAAATCTCTACACACACCATTACAACTTTGAATAATCTCTCTTTTCTATTCAAATCAGTGGTATGTGCGGTCTTCCTAAGGCCGTAGCCGCATTTCATTGAAATTAATCGCCATTAATGATTCATCTCTACGTTCTTTACGTTAGTGGTCAATAATTACAACTTATTCGATGGTTTCACGAATAATACGCGTGAATATTTTCCAATCCCCGTGTAGGGCGAGGGAAAACAGAAACTGTCCGTATTTTTTGCCTGTTCTTTAACGTAATATCGTAGCATATCTTGTACGTTCCGTTGCCCTAATACGGTAAACTGCTAGTTTCCTTTCAGCAATGTTACGGTCACCTGACCATGCCCATCTGAGTTGTAACAACATTCATTCTGCTGATCTCTTCCCGAGTTAAACGATCCACCTCCACCCCCACAGGAATCGCTTACACCAGCCCCAATGCTTCCTCCAGAGTATCCCCCTCCACCGCCTGCACCCCCTTTATATTGTGTACCTCCACCACCGCCACCAAAGCCGCCGAACATAATAGGTATTGGGGCCCTATCCCCTTTCCCTCCGTTGAGAAAAGCCTTACCACCTTCGCTGCCATTTCCTAATACTCCTCCATATTCCAGTCCACTCCTTCCATCTGAGTAAAAACCTCCGCCACCGCCACCTGAACATCAAATAACAAATATCAGTAATATAGGTATAGGTAGTCAAACAAATTCGGATTCAATTTGGTGTAAATAATCACGATTTCAGACTAACAACAGCTAAAGTGAACTGTTCAGTTGGAAGCATCCTCGAATAAAATTCTAACGATAATTATAACTACATATTTTTTAATCGAAGTCTTCCCCTTGTTATCATTAAGATAACAATTTCCTCGATTGTGATTGGTTTGATAATTTCCTACTTTCCACTAATTCACTTGCCAAGTTGTTAGTATTGGACAGTTCAATAGGCCAATCATATTCAAAGTTGTAATTAAAATCAACCAATCACAACCTTGAACTCAACAACCATAGAATCAGTGTACAGACAAATGTTCTTTGTCTTTCATAACTTGGCCATTCTTCTTTTCTCGGTAATTGTAATTTTTGAGTAATAAATCCTGATAAACAAAACAGACTCCCGCTGCCAGTCGTCCGACTTTGTTATCACTCGTATGATTACAGACCGAATTGGACTCCACTCAGTCTATTACCATTACTGATCGGCACGTTTTATTTATAATATAGACCCTGACCTGCTTTACAATCATCAAACGTCTGGGAACCATGTCCATTGCTCCCCCCCGACCATGATCTATAGCCAGGATTCCCCGTTGTGTTTGCACTGGCATCACATCCTGCATGTCTTGATTGCGGGTCGTACACCACCTCCTCCAGCAATTACCAAGCAGTCATTTGTTTCTTTGACTACAAAAGATCCACCCCCTCCACTACTTGTGCGTTCACTCTTGCCCCCCTCCTGGCCAACGAGAATTTGAATGATTTCTCCATTAATCAATACAAAAGTTCCACTTATTCTTGCACCTCTTCCTCGATACTCGGCGTATATGCCGTCGCGCTGCTCATTGTAACCACCTGCGGCTCCAATTGCTTCTATTCTGTAGTGACCAGAATAAGGCACAGTCCAGAGTTGAATACCTCTCGACAAAGAAACTTGTCCATCGTGATCCTGACCTGCGTAATGATTGTCAAGTGATTTGGGACCAGTGCGTCCTGTTCTGTTCAGGTTTGTAAATACGGCGTTGAACCCTGAAATATGCAGAATAACTGATCCAATAATATACATGAAAAAAATTACGTGCTTCTTATTGGCTAAAAACGAATGCATTCTCATGTAACGCGAGTGCAAAGTTGAAACTCGAGTGCAAAGCTGTAACATGAGTATAAATTGCAAACATTTCGTCTATCTCGATTTTCTGCGATGTTTTGTCGCACACGTTACTAACAAGTAATGATATGATTTCTCTTGCAGTTTGGTGTACTAAGCGCTTTGGAATTTTTCAAAGATAACAAACTGCATTTGCCCTACGCGCTCGTGCAATTTTGTTGTCTTTCGAAAAAATTACTCGTGCTTATTAACACTAAATTGCATTCGAAATCATGTTATTACCTATACAAAACCAATCTTGAGTGAGGAAATCTAGATGTCAGTTACCATGGGTTAGATTTTACTAAGACCTCTCTCACTGTGTTAAAACTTGAGGGTAACGGCCTCAATA